ATATATATATATATATCGCGGCGTACAAGTCCAGAAACACGGTGCAGATCAAATTGTGAAACTGACGATAACGATGCGTAAATCGGTGTTTCGCAATGATTTATTTTGTTACTTACGCTTACTACGATGCGCACGCCTCTGGTACTCTGATCAATTGATCATTATGCGAGCTCTAGCTCTAGTTATGTCATTCAGTATAAATAGTGAATACCAATTTCTATACCTGTTTCACTTTTTATATAATCGGCAATTAGTAAATATAAAAACAAGACAGAACATGAAATGGCTTTGAGTGGGAAAAATCTTCGGTTAGCATTGTTAGCACCAGTTGTAGTGGGCTTAGGAATATCTCGTTAAATATTGAATTACCATGTCTATCTCCGTTTTCAAAATATTTTCTCTTATACGCTTGCTGCCAAATAAATCTATGTCAAAAACTTATGCAGACAGATATCATTGACAAATAAATTTATTAGGAGATGGAAAAATAATTTCGAAATTGCAAATACAGAGTTCCTATGAAATTTTGTTGTTCATATAAGAACAAACTACGTATAACGGAAATGGAATATGGTATTTTTTTGAACTATTCAACAAAACATTGAGATGTGGAAAGTAGGAACTATGGTAACCTTTGTCTGAATATATAAATGAAGTGAGATTTGATCATATTAAAGATTTAGATTTACTCTAATTAAAACGATATAAGCCAAAAAAAACCGTATTTTTATTTATTTTCTGTTAATATCTTTAAGAGTACACAAGATACAAACAGATATCTTTTACCGATAAATAATTTTTTTTACACTGATAAAAAAATAAGTTGCAAGTCAAACAATTATAGTCTCAGTCTCTTTTTAAATTACCCTTTCGACAATATATGTGGGATTTGTAATACTACGTAAATTATGGTTCAGATTTAAGGTCAAAATATAGAGAAGATATCTGGAGAAACTTTTAAGGTATCACAAAAAATATATTTACCGACTTCAGAAATGTATGCAACACTTTTTTCCGAGACAATTTAGGGCCACCCTGTATATGACAGCTAAACTTATTGGGACCAGTGACGTACGAAAATAACTAACAAAAGGCGAAGCTATTGTAAACTTACCTTATTTGAAACGTCACAAGATTCTGCAACAGTAGGAGTTAAATACTGGCTGGGTTAATTTGATGCAAAAGCAAATAGTTTACATTTGCGTTTGCAAACAGTTGGAGATTAATGAGTTTTCTGTTGAACGTCAAATATGGGGATATATTGTTAGTAAAACTTTTGTTTGCTAAAATTGATATTGTTATACAAGTCTGCTATATGAACAATCGAGAAATTTATCCAATACTTCCACAAGTTTAACGATCAACCAAAAATTCAACGTGACGCTATACTCAACGTTGAGTTTGGATGTTTGAGATTTCAAACTCCAACCGGTTGAAGTTTACCACTTGCAAACGCAAGCGTACTATTTATTGCAATCACATGAGCGTAAACGCAACCAGTACGACCACTACCAGCACAGCACAACGCTACATTCAAAATTTGTGGAGTTGATTCCTGCACGTCCATTTCCATTTTCTTTTATAACCTCAAATCACAGCACTGCATACACTACACTCATTTTAAATCGTTCTTACAACGTTTTCGCGATTAAAATGACGTATTAAAATCAAATTAATTACAATTATCACTACAAACTGACAGCCGAGAAAAATAAGTTTGGTATGTTATACGCGACATAACGGAACTGGAATCAGTAGAATCGTTTCATAGAACAATGGAACAAGAAAGAGTATTAGTCTGTTCGGCGTACCTGCTCCGTTCTAGTTCCACCTACTCTTCTGTGGCTGTTTTACATAAACATTTTTACTAATGTAGTAATTAATTCATAGAGGGTTTGATTTTATATTGTTCGAAACTTTTTTGAAACAAAAATAGTTACTACCAAATAATTAAAAATAACAAAAAAATTAATACATTTTCTGCAAATAAATACCTTCGCTATTTATTTGTTGGTACTTAATGAACAAATTGACGAAAATTAGTGTTGCATACAGGCTCAAGTGTATTGTCCAATTTATATGGAACAATAAGTATACTGTTGTCACGGACAATATTTTTGTAGATATTAAAAATATGCATATTAGAACTTTCACCCTTTAGTTTTTTTAAATTTTGATTATTATACAGGCAGTTCCCATTTTACAGAACCATATGTATACTAAAACCTATCTTGTTTAAAAATGAATTTTATTTTGTAGTATAGGGATGAATTAATAACAAAGAAGTCATAAATAAATTTTACATTTATTAAGCAATTTTAACAAGCATTTACAGAAATGTAATTACCACATATTTGTTATTGAAGGTTATAATTTTTATTTGTATTTTATTATACCTATAATTGCCTCCTTTTGGTAATTTAATTAGGATAATTATAAAAAGTACCAGTAAATGAAAGTGATCTGCGACAAAAAATTTTAAGCTTATAATATCTGAATATATCTTTCATATCAATTTTGGTTTAAATATGTACGGCCAGTGCTTCACATAAATATGACAAGGAAGCTGAAAACAGATTTTAATTTTTAATTTTCAAAAACCCGTTTTCCATTGTTAGTGTCCCCACTTGTATCAACCTAGTAACCGGGTTTATACAGTTGAAAGATTTACTAGGCTCGCTCAACAATGATGAATAGTTTTGTATAGTTTGCACATGAATTTGAAGATTAACCATTTATACTAAATAACAAAATTACCCTTTTCCGCGATTAATAGGATTTTATTATTTTCAAATAAAAACCAATAAAAAACATCAATTCCCTTAATAAAAAATCATTAAAATGCAGATGTCATAAATTACAACTACAATATTAATAAGTCAAACGTGTCCCAACAGTAGAGTATAATAATATTACACAACAATTTAACATACAATCAAGATGACTAGTACAGACCGAGTTTGTAAAAAAAAATGGAAGAGGTCATTTGCAACCAAAAGCAATCCTAATACTGAAAATCACATTGCTTTTGCAGCCAAAAATTTTACATTATTATAGGTACACTCTCAGTCATTATGTAACCAATTATTATTTAAAAGTTGCCATATTTCTATGCACCTATCACTGCCTATATACATTGCTCCCTAGTAAAAAATTGTTTGCAACACATTTATTTGGGGAAAAAGGCAACCACATTTTTATCAATCTACAGACTTTTAATAATCAAATATATACATACTCATATATATATTTGCAGTTTCTGCATTTTTAAAGATAAATTAATATTATTTAATGAATATGTTTTGTAAAATATAGAAATATAATCAATGTTCTTTTAAAAATGAAATAATTTTTGTGTCGGTAAGTTTTTGTAGATTACTTTGTGGATACGATTTAAAGTTGCCTTCGGAGAACTGTAGTCTGATTTTGCTGAAGCTGCTCTAGTTTTTGTCCCAAAATAAATGTTTTCAGATAATCTCGAGGAAATAGGTATTGCACAAATGGACATTTTTGGGAACAAATGATAAATCTTTATTAATCTTTGGAACATCTTACAAAAACTTGTACTAGGGCTGTATATAAGCGCTCACTTTAATAGAGTGTATACAATCATGCATAATATATCAAATAAGTTAGAATAAGGGCATTTCTATGTATCAATTCAATTAATTAAATTATTATATAATTATATATAACTACAAATTAGTTTCTCACATCAATGAATCTGAAAAATACAGATAAATTTTTTTCTTCAGCTATTGTTATTACACACAAAATTACCATACTGTTGCGTATCCTGCCACGAATTATTTGAATTTATAGTATCAGTACTATTCATTGTTTCTATCGCAACCGTATTTGCATTCTTTACTATTTCCGCTGGAATTCTAAAAACAAATTCCATTCAAAATTTACACCGATATAAAAAGTATCACAAATATACCTACATATTATCAACAATATCCACGTCTTTACCATTTTTTGTTGTACCGTTTTCTTGCTGATCAACAATTTTTGTTCCATTTACCTTATTCTCCTCTTTCAACTTATTATCATCGTTCTTTTTATTTTCTTCATTTAATTTTTCCTCCACGTTCAACTTATTTTCTTCGTTCACCTTATTTTCTTCTTCAGACTTATTCTCATTTTTATCATCTGTACTCTGAAAAATCACCAAAATTTTTAAAAATCGTTCTAGAATTTCAAAGACAGAAACTAAATCCAATACTTTATTCAATAAAATGCAATAACCTGTTGTGATGGTAAATTGGCATTATTCTTCCCTCTGGTACGGAGCATGATAGCTTCAACCCTTTTACGTCGTGCTTCTCTCTCTTTCTCTTCATTCTTTAGCCTTTCCTGTAGTTCAGCTTTCTGTCTTTCAGCATCTTCTCTCGCTTTCTTCTCCGCTTCTTCTTTCAATAACTTCAACCGCTGTTCTTCTTCCCTCTTTAACCTTTCCTCTTCCTCTCTCTTCTGTGCTTCTCTAATTGCCTAAAATAATATAAATAACAGCACATTACAATAATGTTGTAAAATCAATACCTCTTTTAATCGCTCTTGTTCTGCTTGTCTCTGTAATTCTATTAACTGCCGTACTTGTTCTTCTTCTCTTTGTTGTCGTTCCAGCTCAGCTTTAGCTTCGGCTTCAATACGCAACCTTTCTAACTCAGCTTGTCTTTCTGCCTCCTCCCTTATTAATCTTCTTCTTTCGGCTAAAGCAGCCTTTGCTTCTTCTTCGGTATTAATACGTACTTTTGTTATGGACGTAGTCATTTCGTTATTTTCTGCATTTGTCAGGTTATCCGTTGTTATTTCCTCTGCAGTTACGGTTTGAGGATCTGCCTTTACTTCTTCAGTCTTAATCTCCTCCCTTTTTTCTTCTTTTTCTGTTTTAACTTCTAAAGGTTTCTCTTCTATGACTTCTGCTGCTTTCAAATCTGTCACGGGTTGTTCTGATACTTTCTCTGCAACTAATCCTATATCACTCTTTTCAGAGTCCGGTACATTTTCTTCAGAATTTCTTAAAGAAAAAACAACTCTCAGTAATGAAAGCCAAGGAAACACAAACGTATTAATTTGTTTTGTTTTAGAAACTTACTCCTTAGTAACACTTGGCTGTATTGGTTGAACCTCTTCTGTTTTTTCTACTTTTTCTGGAGGACCGTCTTCTACTGTTGGCTTCTGCTGGATTACAGGTGCTGTATCGGGTGGTTTCTGTTGCGCCTCATCATTCGCCGCCTTGTTTACAACATTCTGTGCTACACTGACACCTATCTTCTCTTTCGGAATGCTATCTACAGGCGACTTAATTTTATTCTTCAACTGGGATTTCTCGTGTGTTCTACTTATAGATTTCCTTGTTTTAGGAAGTGGTGGTTTGGTTTCCGCTGATTTGTCTGAATTTTTTAGGTCGTGGGTTATACCAGTAACAGCAATGCTAGCAGGTCTTGGTCTCCTCGGTGTAGCAGCTGGACGCCTGCTGACGCTTACCGAACTCGTTACACTATTTGTGCTCTGCTGACTAAGGGAACTGCTTGGTCTTGATGATGCTGTACATTAACCAATATATTTATTCAATTATTTTTACAACCGTGTCAGTGGCAAACCTTGAAATTCCAGTTGTTTTATTTAGATTAAGAAAATATTTTAAAATATGTATTATATATGACCACTTCAAGGCTTGCAATGATTATAAGCATTACATTAAAGTGCATACAAGTTTTTGCGAACTGTAATAATTTTCGCAAAATGTATTTTAGTATATTAGTCTTTAAGGCAATTTAGCATAAAAGTGTTAAAAATCATTTCTATTAAATCGTTCGTCATTTAGAGGGAATAATTTTGGTAAAATATTCAAATTATTTATACATATAATTTTTAACATTTAACAGATTGTCCCCTCCTAATGAGGTTTACTGATTATATATTTTAATATCAGTGAAAATTCCATCTACACCTTGTTCTAAAAATCTTATTTTATATTTAGAGGAATACGTGATGAGCCATCACCAAAATAGCTATAGCTTTTACACAATGTTCACAGCAGTTAGTATCACATTCAACTGTTATAAAGGCCATAAATTGTACCAAATACCTGCCACCAACCTTCTCCAAGTATTTTGAAAGCTCCTGAGCGACACACTAATAGGGATATGTAGAATACTGTAATGGGCAAGTCGAGATTATGAAATAATAAAGGATTATATGTCTCCTCAAATGTGTCTCTAAATTTCATTGCATCCTGTAGTTCGAAAAGAATTTAGATCCATTCTACTAATCATTATATTTTTAAAAACAATTTGTTAAACACATCTGGTGTATATTTAAATCAAATTTACTATAAAAAAAATGGTTTGAATTTGAAACGCATTTGAAGGATATTAAATTTTACAGGGACAAAACTTTATTATTTCATTGTGACCAAGTGTGAAATGACTGTACGATGTAACGATAGACGTACCCTCGCTGCAATTAGAGGACACGTGTAATTTCTGCTCCCTCAATTGAGTAGTGCGCGTGGTGCGCGGTGCCGAAAGGGCACCATCGCCCGACAAATGGTGCATGCTGCGGCTGTCGGCCTTACTCAGTGGTCTCCTAGTTGGTGACGGTCCTGACTTACTTACGGCTAAGTGGCTCATGCTACGGGTAACAGAGGAAATGCGAGGGGAGGACAAAGGCCGGGGGTTGGGGGAGGTTTCAGCCAGCGAAGGCAAATCGGGCCTCCTGCGCGGCTTGGCAAGCTGGTCTAAACGCGACATTGAGTAAGCCCTACCTGGTGAGTGGTTCAGAGATTTTCGAGACGAGCTGAACGACGAATCTCTAGACGGAATGGTAGGCACGAGGTCCGTACGCCTGCGGCCTGTATATCCACTCGCACAACCGGCTGGTGTTATTGGTATGCTACCTGCAATAAGAAATGTTTGTTATAAATATAAAAACTCCTATGTCTCGGAGCTTCCTAATTATAATAAGATTTATATCAAATTTATTTATAATTGCATTTAATACATTTTGGTGGTGATGTTAAATTTACAACACTCAGTATAATTCAACCTGTTCCGGTTTTCTCTATTTTTCTTTTAAGATATACTAAATAAAATGTCAAGTAGGTGACCTCATTTTCAATTAGTATTAATTGGACATTATTGATAATCAGACGTTCATTTCCAATCATTGACTGCCACCTAGTTTCTTTCAAATTACTGGTCACAGTTTTTCCTATTGTGTCAAATGTTAAATAGATCAGACTTAGTCTAATATAATAATATGAATTTATAATACATATAACAAATATATTTGTATAATAATAAACATTACTCTTAAGCTTTTCAAATTCAACCATATAATTAATTTATACAATTTAAAAAATACTTTTATTATTTTACAGCTTGTTGCAGAAAAGTAAATAAAGTTTTTTATCAAATTTAAAATAGATACTACAAATCTACAAGGGCAAGGGGTTTGTACTAAGTGTTTAAAATTAAAATTAAAAAAAAATGCAATATAATGGAAGAAATGAAAAGCTAAATTATTATATAAATATAAGCATAAATTAGTACATTCAAATACACCAATAAGTCATACTATTAGACAAACTAAGCATTGCATTATAACCAAATAAGTTGGCACTATTTAACCTGCATCAAAAACGCAGTTATATAAAATGCTATCTCTAATCCTGAACAACCTCAAACAGCATGATAATAAAATATGATTTATGATATTTAATGCTGGGTAATGAAAATATTCTGCAAATATTTCCACAACAATTTTCATGATTCCTATGTACCATTTCTTGTCAAATTTATGTAATTGTTAAAAAATTTTATCCTCATTTATCTTTGATAGAAACTGCTTGAAAATAAAAAAATAAATAAATAAATAAATAATAAAATAATAATAAAATAAAATAAAATAAAATAAATATTTACACAAATAGCCAAATTAATATAATTATATGCTTGTCCGAAATTTCCGCACTGAAATATGACAACGTTCAATATTCACGCAAAATAGTCTCCACCTCTTTTTATATAACATTCGTTACATTACTCAAATGACTCATACATATTTATCTTAAATAGGGAAGCAGTACTAACAATTGCAAAAAGAATCGCGATTAGTCGCCATTTTTTTTTTTGTAATTCAACATTCCACGCGAGGAATAAGTTAATTTTTAATTTATGTGAAATCTGTAATCCAGAGGGATAAAATTGTTAGATCACAAGCTGAATACTAACTTTCGCCAGATCGTTCAAGTCCGGTGGCTGATGTAGCCCTTTTTTTGTTTCCGACGTCCAGATCCCTTTCAGACTGCCTTCGAGTCAACGAAGAAGTCGAACACGTGATATTCTGTATTGAAGTAGCTCTCCTCTGACCCCAAAAGGAAACTGACAAATCCGTTGGATCTAGCATCCTAGGCGTGGAAGAACCGAAAGCAAAAACAATGTTACTCTTTTCATTTCGTTTCTTAGCTTCGATTCTTTGTTCTCTTTCTTGATTTCTTCTTAGGATGGATTCCAATCTGTCTCTTTCCGCGTCGTTTATTGCTCTTTTTCTCTCTTCCACCTGTTGCCGTCTAACATCGTCCCTTGTACGAAGTTCTTCTAGACGCCTTCGTCGCTCTTCTTCTTTTTGTTCTTTGAATCTTTGTGCCGCAAGAGCTTGTGCTTTGATTTCCTCCAGTTTCTTCTGCCTTTCTTCATTTTGACGATCCTTTACGCATCGCAGCCTCGCCTCTTTATCTGCTGAAACAAAAAATGTTTTAGAAAACCAACCTTAAAGTGATATTACGCAACACTAGTCACTGTAAAATAAAATAATGTCCTTTTAAATATTAATTGGTGCTAATGAAGAAGTGAAAAATTGCAGCAATGACTGATATTTGGCGGAAACTGCCTATGTAAATTTTAGCGTAATTATCTTATTGGATTAAATTAAATTAAAAAAAAATAACAAAATGCCAAACTTGAAATACTTTATCTGATAGATACAAACTATATAAAGTATGTATTACGCTGCAAATTATAACCCTATATTTATATATATAAAAAAAAATAATTTTAATTTTGATAATTATAATAACCGTATTTTCTTTATAACCTTTCCCATTTTTGTAGATTTAAAAATGACCATGGCGATAAATTTTGTGAGCACGTGACGTCGTCATATTGATTTGATAGTTCCTTTTATAAAAAATAGTTCAACTCCAATTCGTACAATTGAACTGAACTTTCAACGCATGTAATCTAAAAAACAAAAATGTTGCGAAAATTTAGCAAAGTAGCATCGTTGATTTGCAGATAAGGCTTGCTATATGAAGTTTTCAGACTCACGGAATCTTGATTGATTAATAAAGCAAAAGCTTAAGAGGATCCTACACGATGTTCGTATTCGTCTACAACTCATAAGCGGATTGATCGTATTCAGACCAGACAGTTACAAAATAAATGTCAAATAGCGTAGTATCGAATCGTAATGACTTTTGTTCAATTGTTAATTATTGAAATTATATCTGTTATTCATTTTTTTTTGTTTTAAATAATAAATAAAGTTGGCATAATCGAATTTATTTTGTCCATGACAGCACGGTGTCGGCATTGTTTTAGTGTCTGATCTAAGTATTGTGAATTCTAACACTACTACATGTAAAAGCAAAACTGAGTGCCTGAATAAAATTTTTAAATACTTACCTATATAAATAATATGCAATTAAAAATAATATTTTTTATTTCACTTTTTCAGTATTGCCAATTCACTCAGTTCAATATTTAGACACTATCAACGAACCTGTCGCGTAAAAAATTGATATTGATAAACAGAATTTGATGTAAGCCTATCTACAAAGAACGATGCCCGTAATTTGAGAAATTTTCTAAAAATACGCCTGGCCGTGAAAAATTTAAATTCTTTTCAAAATAGTCGCTGACCGTTTTCTTCGGTTCAGCTATGTTCAGTATGTAGCAGCCTATTTTTAGCTTAAGACCCAAGTAGATATAGAAGTAAAAGCATAATGTGAATGCTCCGATGAAGTTAAAATACATAACTGTATAACGGAAACTATAATGTAACTTCACGGCAAAGCTATAAATACATAAATATGGGGCTCTCCATAATAAAAAAAATAGCGCAAAACGGGAAGTGAAAATATGTGGTACCACTCAGTTTCAAAATAAAGCCATATCATACAGGACGATAAAAATTTTTATTATCATCGACTTATCAAAGATTAAATTCAATGGTATATAACATGAAATTTATTCTAGAATATAAATTTCTGGATATAGACAGTGAGTAGCAGTCATCACATCACGTCCGCAATGGAAAAAATAGTATTATAAACAACTCGACCCGTCACTTTTTTAAAATAGTATTTATGTCAGTCGAAAATCAATTGAAATTTTTATTTATTAACCATACTTGATAAAACGGAAATTATAAAGTATATAAAGAAATACCCAACATATATTTAAAAATCAAGTTATTAATAACTTGGATATCATAGCAAGTCTATCATTTTATAGGTATTTTCATAAATATTAATATAAAACATAAAATTTGCAGTTGCTGCTCGGATAAAAATGGGAAATTCGAATTTATAATTAAATAAACGACGTTGTTTTAAATAGAGTAAAACAAAAAAGCTAAGAGAAAAGTAAATATTTTCCGACATTTATTCCTGAAAGAGTTTATTAAACCAGGAATAAAGTATATATGATAATTCGTAAATGCCTCTAACCCCATTTTTTCCATCGTCATCATATTAGGAAAAAAAAATAAACAGCCGTATTTTATATAGGTATCGTATTTTCACCGCCCTGTACATTCATTTCACACCAGTGCATAGAAGTTAATATAATTATAATTATATAATATACCGCCGTGTTCACGTGATATTTATAAGATTTTATAACCTGACCATCATTTTATATGTTACAATTTTAAATTATTTATAATATTTTATTAAACTATTTTATGTTCACTTTGTAGTTATGTAACTAAGCTTGTATTTTCAAACCTATTTTTCATGTATTATGTTTTTTTTAGGTAATCGTTTATTGTTTCTCCTGCCCTTTAATTGGATTTGTATCTGTCTGGGCAGCTCTGTACTTCAAATAAATAAATAAATAAATATTTATGTATTTACAATTTATATGAATGAGGATTATTTTACAAAAGGGCAGGTTTTTAGGATTTCCTTGAATATTTCAATGTATCAGATGTATGAAATTATTCAGAAGAAAATTTACAAGGCAAAAGTGAAATATTCAAGATCCTCTAATATTCTACAACTTCGACGTTTTTATACACAATAATGTTTTTTTTTAATCAAGAGATCTTGAATAAATCTAAATTCATTGTTCACCGTGACCCCTAAGATATGGTTGTACGCCTACGAAAATTATTCATAATTTAACATATATTAAAAAACATTACATAACACTTCTCTTGCAAACAAAATAATAAGGAAACAGGCATGGTTTGTGTCTAGGCAAGTTTACACAAAGTTAAAGAAAAATAAAGCAACACAAATTCGCAAAAAAACATTTTATTAGTTATATTGAATACCTCGAGAAAATGTACTGTTCTTCAAAAACATGATTAAGAAAACATATTTACTAAATTACCTAAGACAAATATTTTATATGAATTATTTGTAGGTAATATAAAACGTTTCAGTGGATACAGATCTAGTGAATTTCGTGACCAATAGCTTCCCAAGTAATAGTGCATACAAAATTTACGTTGTGACAAAACTCATTACTACCATTTTGATTTCAAGGTTGTCACTACAGTTTATAAACTAGCATTTAGAGTACCTATGCAATTAGTTGTGCTTTAGGTATAATAGCATCAATACAAATTCGAGCTTAGTATTTTTTGTAAGTCATTATATTAACTGTACTGAAAAAATTACTATCATGATTGTATTTTTAGAGATGTACCTAAATCATATAAAAATAAGTGTTACACCTATTCAGAACATAAAAAATAAAATACCTACACCAGTCATTATATGACATCTTACCTATAACTCGGAGGCCCTTTCCTTTGCCACTGGTCATCACTAGAAAGGTATGAAAATTAATGTAGGTACCTGATTTTCAAAAAATTGGAAAGTCTTCCATCTAAATTTGCTACAAAAATACTAGCTAGTTGTGACTAGAATTGGCACTAGGGATACATTTTTGTTATATACAGGATGATTACAAATAAAAATCACAAATAAATGCCAATATTAAATTAGATACATTATTTAGCACACATTTCTTGAATCATCCTGTATATTTATATTAAACTCGATATTAAAGAATAAATTTCAAAACTTCTCCCTATAATCCTCTCAATCGTACTATTAAGAATTAATAAAACTGATCATAGAAAAAAAGGCACGGAAAAAATCTGCCGATTCTGAGTATGCCCAAAAAATATGTTCTATATTTCTCAAGTGCTAGGTGAAGAGTGAAATTTCGTTAGTCATCATCTTCATTTACTATTCCTATTTATTTAATATGTGATCGGCAAAGTTATATTCTGTTTACCACAGTGTGCAATTTAGGGTATTATAGACTTTAATAATGATAAAAACTGAGCTTATCATTAATCAAAATAATAATGTATCTAAAAATAGGAGATGGTACACATAATTCACTTTTCTGATGAGTATATTACAGTTTTCATAAACACTAAATGTTTTAGTTAATTTCAATAGATATTCACATTCAAATATGTATTCAAAATTTAATAAATGGTATTATAAAATATACATACAGTACACCGGTCATTTCTGAGGCTTCAAGTAATCATTCAGGGTTCAAATATAATCAAATATATTATTAAAACAAAACAAAATTTAGTTGCTAAAAATATAGATAGGTATACAATTAAGTACAATAAATAATGCACACAATCACAACAATACATATTAGTTAATGTATTAGTAAAACAAACTACATAAAGCTTATAACACACATTAATTATCATAAAAAATATGTATTCATTTTTAAAGCAATGTGAAATAATCAACTACGTACAATTTTTTTTACATTTGACATTCTGTATGTTATTTTTTTCCATAGCTTTTTTCTACATTTAGTTCTAAAAAATTTAAATAGTAAAATTTAAGATTTTTGAAAAAATAGTTATATTTTTTGAGTACATATTTATTAATTAAATGTTCCATGCTCAAAGATATTTCCTTGACATCCTTTTGTTAATCAATCAGTCGTAAAGTATGATAAATATTTCTTAATTTTTCAGCAATACCTATGTAAACAGAAATACTTACAAAATGCTCTTCAAGTGTTATAAAGATATTGATAGGTAAGGGACTTATACATTGTTAAACCCTTTCAATTAATTGCAGCTATATCTTTAAAAAACTAGAAATAAAATAATTAGATTTATGACAGACTGATAAATTCACAGTACAATTGGAAATAAAATTGCATTTTGTGTTACAAGAGTCTTTCCTATCAGTTCTTCCTTTTGCTATAATGCACTAAACAGTTATCACAATTATAACAAATAAAATTTATGTGCAGTAACTCACCCAAGTCTATTTCAGGAGGTTGCCTCCTTGTGTGTGCTACAACCTGGTCCATTACCACTAATGAAAATAATTGACAAGTTTACTACACACCCACACTAATACATTGATATAAATATACTATTAAAAACCATACACTTCGTTGTATCCTTTTTTTTACTTAAACATAACCTTTGTGCAGACGTTTAACTTGCAATAAACTAAATTTTGAAATGTGTAATCAAGATTAAAAAACGTATTTTTGCTGGCGAATTCTATGCTAGAACAACTAGTGTTGATGGCATTTGAAAACAATGCCAACATGCATCTGCTATATAAAAAAATAGTTACAAGTACAAATAAACATGCACCTACAATATTTTGCAATAAATTAGGATTCGTAGCACCCACAGATGGTGGACTTTTTTAACTTATATAACTATGATTCACTAATACAAGGATGTATTTGTCACGTTTCAATACAATACAAAAGCGGGTTGCTTGGTAAATATAACTGAATCTAACCTGGAGTTTTGGATTGTTCGAGAATATCTCGTCCATTTTCTGCCATTTTATCTCACACTACTACAAACCACCACTCGCAACACGCGTCAAAGACATCACAATTCACATACCAATACGAAGAACAACTGACATTTGACGTTTCAAGTTCCCACAAACTACTGTAGATGTCGCTAACTAATTATATACCATAGAGTACCTAAAGCTTAAAGCTATTTTTCGCGAACAATTAATATAACAAAATTATTACTGGATAATATAAATTAATAACTATTAATCACATTAAGACGATTTAAATATCAACATATTTAAATTATTAGCAGATTATATAATTATAACATATATAAATACATAATTGTCTCATAGACATACAAGTATTAGATCATAAATTTTAAATTATTTTATGGAAATACCTTGATAAAGATAACACATGCAGCCGCACCGTGATGTTTTGATTACAATTAGTAACAGAAATAAAACAATTAAATTAAATTATAAAAATGTTCATTAAATTTTTACTAAGCACTGGTATTTATAAAATTATATAATATCCACTCAAAAACAGAAAATATATTTATTTTGATTACATATCAGGATAAAATATACAATAAAAATATAGATAATATATATATGAATTATTTTTATATCTATTCATAAAAATTATTTCAACAATTTCTATAAAAATATAAATGTGTATTTTATTAGTGATCGTTTTATTGCAATCAGTCCAAAAAACCAAAAGAAGTTACGACACCTTCCGGAAAGTCTTTAATTTCATATATTCGAACTATGTTGCCTTTCAGACCATCTCTTTACCACATCTTTTTGATTTTGACCCCACAAAATACTTGCCAAGTTTCCTATTGTCGCTTTAGTTGGCTCATTTCTGTACCAATCCAAAAGTAACTGATATATCACCTAAAAAAAAATATGCATATATGTTATATAAATTATAAAAACAAAGTACCTCCTTAATCCCGTAACTGTTGTTGTTGATGAAAAACTGTTCAATTTGACCATCTGAAAAGTTTAACACTCGTCCAATATCTCGCCACCTCTCATCTATATGTGTAGCAACAAATGACAAGTCTTCTTGTGTTAACGGATTCGGGTTATTCCTTAAAATTTTTATAGCACTAGTTTCTATTATATCTGGCTTCTCAGTTTTTTCACATCTATTAAGATTGTATGTAACTTTGGCACCAACGTGGATATCGCTTGAATTATTTATGTTTATTATACTAGCGCACGCTGAAAAATATCATTTACTTAACGAAATGAACAGGAATATGACATTTAATTATATTAAGTGCAATTTAATTTTAATTTACTTATACAAGTGCTCAATACAAAACTATTTGGTATTAAAAAATAATGTATTTGTTATATAATGTTTAACACATCACATCTATACCAAGTAGACATTTTGTATTTTCTTACAAAGGTTACTGACCTGTAGGGGGATTTCTCCTTTTCATATTAGTAAATCCCCGACTTTTTGTTTTCCTAGAGTGAGCGCTGCTATTATTAGTATTTATTTCTTCAAACCGACTTTCTTTGTTATCACTATCATCACTTGAATTTTTTCGAGAATTTTCACTTCCGTCTCTAGGAGGACTTGGTAGAGCATCTGTTGTAATATCGTCGCTTTTCTCTACATATCGGGAAGACATGTTTACCAAATTTTCTAAAATAATTAATTAGTTTCTAAAACAACTCCCACAGAGCTATTACAGCGCTCATAAAACGGATAGCACCATAAACAAAGGACGTATTTGAGATTGGGAAATTTATGCTAATACAATACATAATACAAACAACCCATTACGAATTTTTGTGGTTAATCCTAACAACCATTTAGTAAGCAATATAACCTTTTTTTGAGCTTACCAAAACTCCGAGCTCCGAGTATGTTTTAGCTTTTCTAATGCAAACAATAAATAAAGAAAACATATATATGTACATACACAGATAAATGAAGTATCTGCTTTGATAAGCTAGTAATTTTACCCAAAATAGCCGTCATCTCATATATCTGCACGAAAACCGAGTATGTATTTTAGTCACCGAGTTCAACCAAACAAATTGCCATGTAACCATGATATAAAAACGACTTAATTTTCTATGGACGAACTTGACAATATAACCTTCAAAATATCTTAATGTTTCTTATTTATTTATTGATAATGTTTTTGTGATCTTATTGAGTCATTGTAAGGTAACATAAAAAAAAATTAAGGTAAAAACTGCTAACAATATATTCTAAAAATGGCAATATATAATATAAATGAGTCTTAACGTTGTAGAAATTAAAACTAATAAAGTATTTGAAATGTTAAGGATAAAAATAAAAAGACGAGATCATATTAAATTCCTGAGTTATCCTTGAACGGAGATCGGAATATCATTGAAAATATGGTAGTGACATTTTTGGTACTCCTCTTCTATTGATGATTTATCGAGGTCAGCGTTTAATACTATTACAGGTGCTGGACAGTAATGCAAATTCTTGTAGAACAACCACTCCTCATGAATATTATGTAATTCCCTGAGATAGTCAATTGATATAAATTTTTCTTCCACACGACTCCTTTCAATTATACGTTCATAAGCAATTTCTGGGCTGGTTCGTAGATATACTGAAAAATAGTCACTATCATGCCACTGACACACCAAGTTAGAAATAAGCATATATACCTATTAAGTCTGCTGCGGTATTAGGATTATTAATTAACCATTGAAAATGTTCGTCAATCACCGCAGCTGAAGCTTCTGAGAGAATATTGTCACGCCTCATTTTCTCTACGAAGCAGTACCTAAAAAAAATGTTTTGTATACATGCGATCTAACAGAAACGATTATAGTTCTATATAAAAAATACTTTGTAATATTAACTCACTTAGCACTATATACAGATCTTTCCATTAGTTTAATGGGGTGGGAGGAACGATGACAGTGATGTTGTAGCATCGTTAGCTGAACATACGACTGAAAGGTGAAACTCCACTTTTGTGAATCCTCGTACATAAGTCCCTTTTCAAAAATAAACTATAGTTAAATATTTTCAAAATGACAATTAGTTTTTACCAATAAATTATGACCATCACAATTTCTCCAAAGCTCAATTGGTTCTGCAAGAACAGACACATTTTGATGGCGATCAAAGTAATTTAAAAAGGTTGTCTTTCCACTGCCTATATTGCCTTCAACAAGCACTGTAAAGGGGCGACTTGTTCTCCTACTTGAATTAAACATGCTTTATATAACTAATTTACACAAATCTGAACCAGCAGTAACAGTTAACAGTTCTTGTTGGCACTTTTTCTGACCACCAATTTATTTGCCGCCAAAAAGAATACATCATTGCCAGTATGCTTTCATATTTACAGAGATTTACAGTAGAAATTTCACATTTTGTCCAAATTAATAAAATAGTACTTTATGCTATATATATATAAGATATTTAGAATCTAAAATAAACTCTAATATTATCATTTAAAGACATATTTTCGCATATTTTTTTGTTTATTGTAAAGAACTGGCAACATCGAAGAAACTAGGTTCGTAAACCAAGTGGTAGTAATAATTAGAACATATACTATATGGGGGATATACCGCATGTTAAAAAGTGTAGACGCTGTAGAAAGAAAGAGCAATAGTTTGAGTACTCGTTATTTCTCTCTAATTGTTGAGGAAAGAGTTACATTGGCCAATCATATGCCTGTGTGAGAGAAAAAGATAATAACCAAAGTATCTCTTTCTCTCTCTATCACTCGTCTACAATGTTCCCGTAACCATTCTTCCTCCGTGTAGCACATGTATAACAATTGTAACCATGTTGTATCATTACAGTTGATTATAAATTGGTTAACTGGTTGCTTTTCATGTAACCAAATTTTATTACTGATTGAGATCCCTGGTAGATTTTACCTGCTATATAGATTACAAATGATCTTACTAAAACTGTACGATTTATAATATTAGTAATAGCAAATAATTAATATTCTTTTATAGAGGCAGTTTAAAATTTGTGTGTCGAGTGACTGGTTGAGGGAAGTATGTTGGTGTTGCGAAAAATTGTTCCCATTACATGAAGAGTAAATAAATGCATTTGTGAAATGTGATAATTAAGGATTGTTGAAAATATATATTATTTAAAAAAAATCATTATCATGTAACTAAACACCATTAGGAAATATGGGATGTACTGACCGCAGCAATGTTTGCAAATAACTGTTCGTTGCCAGGTTAGTACAGATGATAATTGTTTATTACTACACTTTACATACATATATATGATGTTTATAATAATTTTATGATTTAATTAGGTATTAAATACTACATTAGATTTCAGAATTGTTTAGCTGTAAAGATAAAAGTTCTATGAATATCTTTTTGTGATATAAAGTCGTTGAAACTATTATAAGCATCACCTATTCTGCATTTCTTTACATATAAATTTAAAATTTTAACGCAGTTATTAGTAAATAATTAGTTTTACCGTTTTGAAGAGGTTACAAATTTAACGAAAATGTTTACTTTCTTTCTGAGGCCAGTTAAATAATTATAGGCATTAAGGAAGAAAACTGATCATTAGATATTATAAAGCTGTGATGTACAGGGTGTGTAGCCTGCCCCTATTAATTATTTTTCATTGCTGCAAATATTTCTAATGCAAAAATTTGTGAATGTAGAGTATAGTAAATTTAATTAAAAATATTACCGTAGATATAAATGATAAAAATAAAATTTTTTGTAATTAAATCTTTTATAGGTTCCTTTTAATTGGATATGCCATATGATGAACAGTGGAACTAGCCAAATATGGCGTCGCAGAACTGGTACAGCATGGATTCGTGTTGGATTAATTGTTTTTATAGTGTTTTTTATATGGCTTCAATTGAATTTCCTAAGTTTCGGTGGATCTACACCACCATACATAGAAGTAAATGACTCAAACGCAGCAATACTTAGTATGGTACCAGCAGTTCTACACAAATTTTTATCACCTAAGCCGAGAAATTTTACCAGTGCCATAAGTTTAAATGGGACACCATACAATAATTATATTTATAAATATGCGCCTAATATCTCTGATATTAAACGAAGTATTGCACAATATAACTTGCAGCAAGTAGTTTACAACGAAAACATCTTTGGGCCCCTGCAAAGTGACTCTGTCGTTATTGTTATACAGGTAAAAGCAAATGTTTTCGAAAGATATACATACATATTAATTTTCTGTTATTTCAGATACATGATCGCATTACATACCTGCGTCATTTAATTGTAAGCCTGGCCCAAGCACGTGGTATATCTCAGACACTGCTTGTATTTTCACACGATTATTACGATGAAGAAATGAATAGCTTAGTACAAAGCGTAGACTTTTGCAAAGTTATACAAATATTTTATCCTTATTCCATACAAACCCATCCACATGAATTTCCAGGTGAAGATCCTGGAGATTGTCCCCGTGACATGAAGCGTGAACAGTAAGTTTATTTTATTATTTAAAGCATGGTGGTTTTTTGGGTAGTTATGCTGTGGCTTATGTACCTGTTTGCTGTTAGTTACGGAATTACATAACTAGTTTATTATATTGTTTCAATGCAAAGGAATAAATTATTTTTTATAGGGCAATGTTAAAGAAATGCAATAATGCATTATATCCCGATCTGTATGGTCATTATAGAGAAGCAAAATTCACACAAACGAAGCATCACTGGTGGTGGAAGGCGAACCGTGTTTTCAATCAATTAGAAGTAACAAGAAATCACACTGGATTAGTTGTATTTTTGGAAGAAGATCACTATGTTGCTGAAGATTTTATACACATTTTAAAATTAATGGAGAGACGTTGCAATGAATCGTGTAAACACTGCAACATATTATCTCTAGGCACTTATTTAAAAACATATAATTATTATGGAGATTCCAAAAAGGTATTGTTGATTTGTTTTATAGAAACATACATATAGCTGCTTAAATATGCTGTACCGTATTTTTCATTGATGTTTTTTTTTTTAAGTAATTCGTGCATTTTATTCGTGATTAAAAGTAGCTATTTAATCGGGGGTGTTAAATATTTCTGTTTACTACTTACTTTAATAAGTTATTCATTATTTAAAATTTTTCTGGTGGAATAGCTATTTTCTTACAGGGTGTCTCAGTTTGTATTATGTACAGTAAGTACTTATCAATGTATTTGAGTGGTAGCTTTTTCATTAATTGAAATAAAATTGTTTGCGACGGAATAGTACTTGCATATTTTTTAAATGTTTCACACTACTGTCACAAGATGTCAGTTTGGTGTGAAAAGTAATTTGTGATTTTTTAATAAGAATAAATTATTTCATTTATTACGGAGGACAGAATGACATTGTACACAAAGATTTAATATTCAACAACCTGTGCGGCATTCACTATGATAAAAGCTAAATTCTTTATCAGCTTTGCTAATTTTAAGAATTTGTCTTTTAATGGCTCATCTAACTAACTTGAACGCATAAACGTGTATGTATTTATAAATTTTCATGAATCATCTTTCTTGGGGACACCCTGCCCGTCATTGTACATATGTTGTAAATTGCAGAAAGAGGCTTTGCGCGCTATTAAACAACAGTTTATAAAAAATGTGGGGCAAGTTCATCCATCCTGGACATTTCAAGTGCTGCCATCCTTATATCAGCACTCACAAAAGGTAGCTTAGCTTGCCTCTATACTGCTTTTGCTGATTGGTATTTTATTTTTAGTAGAAAGTTGATTTGTTACGATAATTCCACTCAAACATGATCTATCTTTTAGCTCCAAAATTAGTCAACAAATCAATTTTGGCTTGATCTACTGTTTTCTTTGCTTTCAGGTTTGCTTTTCACTCTTAATTGCTGACAGTTTACTTTATTATAGATTATATATAAAATTATAAACTGATATTTTTTCAATTTGCTGTTTTGTATCAAATTTTGCATCGTGTCTGATTGATTGTTAAAAAAAATACAAAATACTTTTGCATGATTACTTTTTCTAAAATCATGGACGTACAGGATGTCCGGGAGGGAATGGGCCATACTGCAAGGATAGTTTCATTATATAAAAATAAGTTAGTTTAGATCAAAGATATTATAAAGACACTCCATTTTATCTACTATGAAAAAGGTATACCTACCTATCGAAAACTTGTAGCAGAAAGGTTTATTGAAATTTTTTACTACAGACATCAGTTACGGACAGACGAGTATTTGGGAGTATTTTAATACAATTAAACTTCACTCTTTTGCTAAATTTGCAGCTAAAATATATAATTTTTATGGTTTAGACCAACACATCTCTATTAAAAAGTTAGTGTCTACTTAGATGTAGTATACAAAATGAATTCACAAGGTTATATCCCGCATTGACTTTTGAATATGATTAGTAGGGTGGCCCAAAAAAAAACGAATATTTTTTTTTCATGTCGGCTTTGGATTTGGGGATTGTCTCATTTCTGTGGTGCGTTTTATGTTTGTTTATTAGGGTGGCCCAAAAAAAACGAATATTTTTTGTGTCTTGTGAAAATATGTTAGGGTATCAATTTTTTTTAGAGGTCACTCAAGATTTTTAAAACCCCAAAATCGTCAAAAATTGAATTTTTTTTTCCGTTATTTTATCATTTTCTAGGTTGAAAAAAATCACGATTCTGAAAATTTCAAATCGGTATTCTAATTTCTAAAAATTATTTTAACTTTAAAAGTAATGTACCTAAAATGTTTTCGAGCGACCTCTAAAAATAAATATCAACGAACTAATAATTTTTTTTATAATTTGATGAACAAAAGAATAGAAATAAATCACGAGACACTTAAAAAATTTCTTGAGGCAAAATTTACTACCGCACTGTATCAAATATTTATAATTTTTTAATTTTTTAAAATTTAAGTCGTGATTTATTTCTATTCTTTTGTTCATCAAATTCAATCAAAAAAATTATTAGTTCGTTGATATTTATTTTTAGAGGTCGCTCGAAAACATTTTAGGTACATTACTTTGAAAGTTAAGATAATTATGAGTGACCTTTAGAAATTAAAATATCGATTTGAAATTTTCAGAACGGAGTTTTATTTCAACCCAGAAAATGATAAAATAACGAGAAAAAAAATTTAAAAAAAATCAATTTTTAACAATTTTGGAAATTTTTAAAAATCTTGAGCGGCCTCTAAAAAAATTTCTTTTGAGCTCATTTTATGGGGGGCCTCTTAAAACATGATAAACTAACATGTTTTCACAAGAGACACGAAAAAAAAATATTCGTTTTTTTTGGGCCACCCTATTGATTAGGTTGGTCAAAATCATAAAAAATGTTTAAATCAGTTGCTAATTTAGTAAAACACTGATATTTAATTAAACCAGAAAACCCCCAAATACACAGGTGTCAGTAACTTGTAACTAGTATAAAAAATTTGAAAACCAAGTTTCTCTGGAATGTGACACAAAAAATATATCTTTTTTTAAACTAAATAAAGTAGTGTGTCAGAAAATCTTGTAACTTGATCTAAATCGATTTAGACCTAAGGAAATTACCATTGTAGTATGACCGATCCATTTCTGGACACCCTGTATATTGCCATCTTGTTCACTAAGAAAAGTAATTAATTTTATTAAAAATAAAAGTATTACTTCAGTAGAACTATATAAATACTGTTTTTTTTTTTCAGATTCTATAATAAAAATAAATCTATGCTTTTGCATTTTAGATTATGAAATTTAATACTTATATTTAATACACTTTTGATTTGTAGATGAGTAATATGTACATATACGTATTTATACAAAATGTTATTTGCTTGAAAAAGCATGATAGGTAAAACGTTCAATTGAAAATGGAAAGCTGGGTACATTTTTTTATTTAGTACACAAATTGATAAGTTTTGTAGTTCAGTATTCAATCAATATTTTGTCATTTATTTAAGGTTGAAATAACGCCTTGGATAAGTAGCAAGCATAATATGGGAATGGCTTTTAATCGTACGACATGGATGCAAATCATTGAATGCGCCACCTACTTCTGTAAATATGACGACTACAACTGGGACTGGTCTCTGCAGCACATATCCCAAAATTGCTTGAAACAAAAATTACATGCTATGGTTGCCCGAGGTCCTAGAGTCTTCCATATTGGAGAATGGTAAAAACTTTTTGTCTTAACTTAAAAATATTTAAACACAGAAATTTGTTGTAAAGTGACAATAAACAATAACAGAAAATAAATTAATATTATTTTTCAGCGGTGTGCATCATAAAAAGAACAACTGTGAATCAACATCAGTAATCTCGAAGGTTCAACAAGTGCTTAAATCAGCGAAAAGACATTTATATCCAGACAATTTGATATTAACCTATACAACTATATTAAAAAAGACTAAACTTAGGAAAGGAAATGGGGGTTGGGGTGATAGGAGGGATCATAAATTATGTATGGGTATGACTATAAGGTAGTCATTTTACTTCGTGATTCTTTTAATAATAAAATTATTTTATAGGAAAAAAAAAGTATCTTAATAGTAAGACGAAAAAAATCAAATTATTTATTTCATTATGAGACTGCTGAAGTGTAATCGTATTATTTAATATCTACTATTACAACATTAAATTGTTTTAATAATTTTTAGCTATAGTATTAACTCGAACATTGTTTTTTTCAATATATTTTGCACTTGCAGCACTAAAAATGTATGTGAACATAGAAAAAGAGCACAAACTCTAGTTCTAATAAGTAATTGTACAAATACAATTTTCTGTGTATAAAAGTACCCTAACGTATGTTAGGTGTCATCTTTGTCTCGAAACTTGATAGACCCATTGGCCTAATTTACTTCAAATACTCGATTAAATCCTCAATTTTACATTACTCGAATATTTTTCATTTAACGGAGTACAGTTATTATACTAACTGCAGGTATGAATTTTCTCAATTTTTTCTTTTGTCTCGTTGAATAAAATAGATATGAATTACATTTAAGGTCAGCCAACTTAAAACCAAAAATTTTAGTTGGCAAAGGGAAAATTGGTGCCATGTTCATAAAACATTAATTATATTGCAACGAAAATGTACAGTGCATTTTTTATGATTAATTTTTTTCAGTATTTATTCAACACGATTCGATTTTTCCCCCTTTATTATATAAAATACTGACGGTGTAATTATTGTGTATTTTTATTTTTTTTATTGCAATTTTAAAACATCTAGTCGATTTTTGGTGCAACACAAAGAGAGAAAGACGAAGTGCATATTTTAATATTAGTTCAGCGGTATTTAAAGGGTGCCAATTTTGAGCCCAATACGTCCATCTTAGAAAAGTGTACTGTCCTCCTTCTTTAGTATGCTTATTACAAATATGACCTCCGTTTTGCTGTAAATTGAGCCGTTTCAGAAATAGAGAAAAAACAGAACGCACGCACTATAACGGAAAAGCGACTCGCAGGAGGCATGATATTTTCTGTATATTATAGATTTAGACAAGGCAAGTCCAGAAGCCATTCATGGCTAGTGTCTTTGCTAGACCAAGTATTACAACTTCGTACACTTTTCAAACTTGGACCTTGTAGGCCCAAAGTCCCGTAAGACTTTGGCACCTTTTTTTGGGCTAATATTTTTTATTTTTAATTCAAATTTTCTTTCTCTTTTTGACCTACGTTCTCAAAATGCAAACAGCTAAGTAAGCTAAGAGATTTTAAATGTACGTAAAAATTCATGTGATTTTGATTGCCATAATTTGTAAAAAGCTTTTACTTACCAGTCTTTTTTTCAAGTATATATGAATGCGTTAGATATTTAATTTCATACATATAAGTATTATATTTTGTATCAAGAAATGTTACATTTTCAAAATATTTGTTTCTTTAATGTATTGATTATTGACCTTATACTTTTTTTATTATGTTTAACCATACATCAGATATTTTCTATTACCCAATCAATTGTTATTGTTACGTTTGTTTTTTAAATACATTTTTAATATACAAAAATTTTTCTTTTCCTCATTTTAATGTCAAACTTTCTCTTAAGAAAACTCAAGTTAAATAAAAATATATCCAAAGGAAAATAGAAAGAAGTTTTTAAAATAGCACTAGGCTCCTTGTCAATAACTTCAGAAATATATTCTGAAAACATTTAAGGTTTTATAGATACATAAATAAAAAGAACATGTAAATAATGTAACGTTAGTTCTTTACCCATTTGACAGTAAAGTGGCATCAGCATTAAAAATGTTTTATTGTAGATATATAATAAACGGAACTGCTACACTTTAGAGGATAATATAAATGAATCATTTTGGTTAATTATTCTCCCAACTGTTTATATAAAATGGGGACATAATCATCATATTCTGCTTGATAAAGGTTTCCAGCAACAGGCAGACCCAACTTGTATTTCTCAGCAAACTTCTTAATAGAAAAGCAGCCGCGGTTATCCCCCGATCTGAATTTAAAAAATAATTAACATAGAATTTGCCATCTGCATTAAATATACCTGTTAGTTAATCGTTTTTCATCAAAATTGAGCTTTGTACTTTGTTTATAAACCAAAAAAACATATCGATGCAATCCTGTATTTGGTGGTGGACCAGATCCTACATATTCAGACAAAACTTCTCCTTTCGACACATCATTGCCTGGAATGTTGCTTACTAGCCAGTGATGCCACTCTCGAAATTTCGGCTGCTGACGACTTGGTGCATCTGGGTCTAAAATTTTTAAATTTAATTTAACTATGTCACTATAGCATTTTCCCACCTGTCATGCAGAGCGTGTAAAAAGAATTATTATCTGCTTCCCACGAGACATTAGGTTGGTCTTTAACTTGGGTAGGAGTTAAAACATTGCCCAAATTAACAGTAACACCACTCGGATACTTGACCTGTCAAACAATTCAATATTTAAATTTAATTCAACTTATTAATTAAAGACAATACCTCAACAAGTTGTTTTGGAGCGACATCAATAACATCTGGTACCACTTCGTGCTGTTCCATGCTTTTTACAGCTGAAGAGAAAAAACGAGAAGTAAAGAAAGCTCTCCTTAACGCAAACATTCTAAAAATGAGCTTTCAAGGAAGATATGTCTTATTTTAGAATAAAAGCACTGAAAATCGTATTGTGCATAATGTAGGTATTTAAAGTTAAATTATAACTTGAATAAAAATAAAATATAGTTCTAGAATGATCAGTGGAAATAGTGTTAATGAGACCCGTCTTAAAAACGTATTTTCAGTGCTTAAACAGAATAAGCAAAAAATATATACACTACTACGGAATATACTACAATTTTTATTACTCACCTGATAAGTGATAACTGCAAATATAATACGATTATGAAATAGGACACGAATAAGGAACCGGATTACTTCTTGTAATTATTTGAGGTTAGGATTTAATCTGTGTATAAAATGTGACTTTCTTCAGTTTCTTCTTCGATAGATGCCGATTTTAATAACCTTGGTCGTGGTAAAACAGACTACAGATGATCAGAGTTGCCAGCTCCTTGAAAAAGTAGGTGTCAAAATAACAATCTGGGAAGTAACCACAGCGATAGATTTTTTAAATTTTATTTGTTTTAGAGCGTACACCCATAAAATCAAGTTTTTTCCATTTAGGTTAGATTTAAATTATTCTCTTATTCGTGAGCAACATATTTTCTCGTGCACTTTGGCAACCCTGGAGATGATTTAAATGTATAACCTAACTTTATTGTTTTGAGAATGGAAGAGTTGTATCAGTTGTAGTTGTATTAGTTTTATATAATATATTTTACCAAGATGCTTATACCACGCTTCGCTTTGTCTCAAGATTCAAAAACTCTGACCATTACACTATTAGCTCATCACTGTAAACTGGGAGAATTAGATGTTGAAGTAAACGAGAACTGCTTTTTGTTTTCCTGTTGGCCGTATTACTTACGGTTAACATTACCAGGAAATATAATAGACGATGAGAAAACAAAGGCTGCTTACGACACAGATACAGGAGAGTTTACTTTCTGTTACACCAAAGCAATCGAGGGAGAAATTTTTGAGGACTTAGATTTTATAACAAAGTTCTTAGTAAAAAAAGTAGATGTGTCTTATGGATTTGAAGCTGATGATAAAAAAATAACGATGTTATCTGGTGATGGTGTTGAAGAAGAAGGAGTAGCTTGTACTGATTTATCGCACATCTTAAATTCTGGTTTTGGCTTTGCTTTATTAGGAGGTACTCATTTCAAAAGTTTACATACTGAATATTTTGACGTATTTGAGGTAGATCCATTTAAAGTTAATTTACAAGATAGGCATATACTTAGAATGAAAAACGAAGGTTTAAAATTCAACGTGGATCATTATCTCTGTGATTTACTTGAACCTGATGAAATTGAGGAAATAATAAAACAGGTAGCACCATGGGAAAATTTGGAGACATCCACTTTGATTTTTACCAATAAAGAATTAGATTTCCTAAAAGATTTGCCGAACAAAGTGTACAACCTGAGCAGTATCCAAATAAATTTTTTGCATAACACCTTGATTGATATTCTTTATGCCTACTGCTATAATCAACGTACAACATACTACGAAGAAAATTCTGAAGCAGGCTGGAATGTAGTTAAATTGAGTGCTTCCCTCTCTTGGCTTGACGTGTTTGAAACTCCTAGAGAAACGCTCGTCTCTTCATTCCGTAGAAGTTTGATATATCCTTTGTATCGAAATTTCAATTTAAGTGAAAAAATACTTGTCGATATGAAAAAATTGTTAAGCTTAGGTGAAAAATTTATTATCAAATGCCTTATTGAGATATACTACATATTTTTAAATGGTGACTGCTGTAGATATATTTTGAATAAGCTCTTTATAAAAGATTATATCAACTACGTTATGAAATGGGATAAAAATAAGTGGCAAGAATACCTTCAAGATGTTTTCAGTATAGATATTAAAAAGGCTGATTTAGGCTTGAATTTACTCGATTTAGAACAACATATGCTATTAGAGCAACCAATGGCGAAATTAGAAATTAGAGACGATGATAGCGACGATTCATCGGAGACAGATGAGACATCTGAAACAGATACATCTGACACAGACGATATATCTGATGATGAAGGTTTAGATGATTCATCTCGTAAGGCCAATGAATTAAATGTAGGAAACAAACTTCATGCAGATGTTTAACTTAAAGAACAATTTTTAGTTATTTTTTTTTTTTAAATGGATTATTACAGTTTAGTTATATACTTAACTATTGTTTATTTTATAAACTAAAATTTTGTATAATTTTTATAGAATATATTTTTATTTGTTTTTCATGTTTTTTAAATAAATGAGTATATTATTATTTGCTCTTTATGTCCTTAAAAAAAAATCAAGAATGTATTATTCACCTATTTATTTAATTCATATACAATTCATATAACGGACTCTCTCACTGAATGAAACAATATGTGTAAATACATGTTACTAGACTATCTTGGAAGGTGAGACAAAGCTTTCAAATTAATAAAAATGATAAATTAGAGATTCGTTTTCCTCCCAGTAAACAGAGATTACTTATTTTTGCCATTTCAGCGTGATCATTATGTGATATAGTAAATTGATAAAAACAGTATTATATATATATATATAATAATTCAAAATTGAAAATGGCTGCACTTTTTCTCATCTTCCAAAAATGTCATATCTATGTCAGTCATTTCTCATAAATAAAAATAAAAAATATATAATTTTATATACATTGACAAACTATATAATTTGACTATTTGTTATATTTTTCATGTGCAGTGCCATACACAAATAAAATAAGTAAACAGTTTGATAATTTTTATCAAAAAATCAACCTAATTGTGCTCTTTAATACTGTCTGTTGCATCATACTTTCCAGTTGATAAATCAACCAATTACATAGAATTTGACTGGGGAATATAGGAACAAATTAGCCTACTTTGATATGATTCAAGATTCCCTGATAAGGAAAGGCAAAATGAAAGATATTTAACATTTGAGTACACACGGAAATATTTGTTTCTAGCTTTTGGTCCACCTATATAAATTCAAACCTGTAGGTAATTAAATACTAAAAGATCTACAGCTGGAATTAATTGTCAAGTCATAGTTAATTCTCACTCCATTTATACTCAAATTAATGTAAGTACGATGATAGTTAAGTAGATATGATAAAAAATAATCTCTTCAAACGTGCCCAAAATAATTATACAAAAATATAAGGTATATATATATAGATTCTCTTCTGGAATATATTCATAATAGTAAGTAGAAATCATGTTTTGGTCAATTGTTCAATAGCTTAGTCTAGACTTGAGGCTTCTCTATCTGGAATACTGTTTAAATCATTTCCTTCATTATTCCAGTGGTAGTATGGAGGTCCTTCGGTAGTGCAATATTTCATTTCTAGAGGCGTATCATTTTCGACATAATACATTAAATAAAAATTGCACATTTCGTCGTTATTTGTAGGTCTAAAAATTATGTGAAACAATTGGATTTAGAAAGTTACACACAAAATTATAATTATACGACAAAAAATAGAGGAGAAATTTATTTTTACAAACACTCACCCAACTTGAGTTACTCTATTTCTTTCTCTGCTGTCCATAGTACATCTTGCTGCCTAGAATTGGATATAAAAAAATATAATTGTACTAGTGCGTTTTCAAAGACTTACCAGACGGTCGCCATATTTAATAGGATTAGTGTCAAAGACCGGGTAGAACATTTGGGCAGTAAGCGGATCCCGCTTTCCCAGCAATTTCCAATGATCTTTTCCATAGATGTCTCTGCTGATACTATAACCAGACACCACACGACCTACAATAATTATTAGCAGTAAGAGAAAATATGTAATTCCCGAGTAATGCAAATTACCTAGACTATGGGTATGAGTTCTGTAAGCAAAAGGATATATTGTTTTCGGTTCGTCTATCAGGCATTCAGTTTCCATGTATGTAACAGAACGAGGTGGTATTGATCCTCCGACCCCCAAAAGCACAACGCCAGCCAATTTGTTTTGCCTAGAATCATTTTACTGCTTATAAATAATTATTTTATTTTTAAAAAGAAAGTTATTTTATTTCTGATATATATGCTTACCGTTCTTCTGTGTACATTAAAAACAATCCTGAATTATCCGTTACTTTATCTGAAAACAAAAAGATATTTTTCGTCTCTATTTAAAATATTTTATTTTACTTATTTACCAGGAAATTTCTTAGAGTAGTGGATCTGGAGAACTATATATTGTATCGCTGTACCCATACCCACTTGAAATCCAACATCTTCAGGAAGTTCTAGCGTTTTAGCATTTCTAGCCCATGCATAAAGGACCTAAAACACCAAATTTTTGCACAATTATTTTGCTAATTATAAAAAATCTTACGTGAGATCCTTCAGCACATGGACTGGCTTTCTTCAAATTACTGTCTGTTTCCGCAACTGCCATTTCACCACAATCCCTATGAAATTTAATAAAATAATAAGCTATAGAATTATTAAAAAACAAACACATTATAATCTTTACCAGTATTCATCTGTAGTACCAGGAGTGGTACATCCGAAAAGAAGCATGTGGTGTGCTACGTTCATCGTAGCATTCGGTTCAAATCCAACTAAAAAAATGATAAGGTAGTTAAGGTCCTATAAATTTAATTTATCTTTACCTATATAAAAACTTTTGTCATCAACAACCCTTACGGGTGTACATAGGTATAGTTCATCCTAAAAGAAATTATTATTAGTCCAAATTTTTGATTGAATAATTCAATTATAATCTAATTAATTTCTTCTCAAACAATATCTATGGTAAAGTAATAATATGTAGTATAACAATTCAGTATTGTAACAGTTTTAGTTTGTTATAGTGAAAACTGAGAAATTATTTTTCTCATACTGAAAGTGATAAATTAGTGACTTTATTCCAAAATTTACAAAAGAAAACTTTGACTTACAATAAAATTATCGTTATTGGTGGATTTAAATTCAGGGGAATCCTAAATTTTATTTAAGAATTAAACATTATTTTAAACTATTTTTTAAATCTATAACAAAAAGCAAAAGAAAAATATAATATATGCAACCCTATATGTACGTCTGTGAATAGCAAGTATACATTGGAAAATTTAAATTTGCCACTTACCCTGTTCGGATATACATTTGGCATTAGCAGTGGAAACTTTTTTACTTCACAGCAAGTAAGGTGGAAGATAAATAAAAATAAAACTACGACCGGCAAACATAACATATGGGTGCACGACATTCTCTCAAAACAATCGATATATAAACTTGTTAACCTTCGTTAGTTCCTCAAAATCTGACGTATCCACATCATCCTCACTACGCATGGATATTGGAAAGGAGATGATGCTGCCCGTGGTTTTCAGTGCTCTAATAAGTCAAATTTCCAATTAAAATTAAATCATGAAGCTTGATAATAATTAAACCTATTTTTATAAAACTTAGATAACTAAATTAGCAAGGGGTGCACGTTATTTATTTAGAACATGATGTAAATATATATCTATAGGTTTATTTAGGGTATCATATCTTTAAAAAATTATCCGTGGAAAGAGGGAATTCCCGTAATATTTCGCAACCAATCAGAGTTCAGTGGCAGCATAAATTTTGCGTGGATGTAATGACGTCAGAGCGTAGGTGTTAACCGCAGGAGCAGCATATGGTGCATTTGTACTTATTGCCCAAAATATTGATTTAAATATATTAAATGAGATATTAAGGTCTTATCAATCATATAATTCTTGACTTAATTAAATATTTGGCAAGTCTATATCTACATATGTCAATAATTTTAAATATTATATTTCAATTGAAATATTTTTTTGGTTGTACATATATTAACGAAGATTGATAATTATTAATAATAACATAAATTGATATCAAGACTTATTCTGTCCATTAAACCGTTTATTCTTTTTTTTAATACCTCAGCCCTTCTATTTTCTTACAACTGTCGTGTTTCTTACAGTAAGTTTGTTTACTATACTGAAAGGAAATCATATCAGTACACCCTTATCATGAAATAAAATGTAGCTGAAAAATATGTTGTACCCAATAAATTTTTAACATCCCTGTATATACACACATGCGCGGATATTGTGTGGTGTGATTGGTCAAATACGATCTATTGGCAGTCATGTGGAAATGCGATTGGCACTAATGATAATAAATACGACTTTATTTTAATGATAATAAATACGACTTTATTTTAATCATAAACAATAAAATACAGTGTTTTTCGGTCTCTACTTTTACAACTATAAATAATAGTTAACTTGGTATATATTTTTTGACAATGTATTGAAATAATTATTTTTTATGTTTCCCTAAATGTCAGTTAGTAAAGAATTGTAACCTTATTAGTATTCATTTAAACGTTTAATATTGAGTGCAAAGCTTTTCCATAAATAAGTGATATTTTTTATAAACGACTGTACAACAATTTACGTAAAAAGAAATCATTCAACAGAGAATAATTCAAATATTGGCGGATTTAAGTTGCGCCACCTATGATAAAATTGCTCCAGCTTGTAGATTTCTATTAAAATCAGTGGTGTGCAATACAATATTTTAACGATATAGACAATATGTTCTAACGGAATTAAACAGGTAAAATATTTAGAATTCTGAATCTGTATAAAGATTTTATTTGTGTGTGTTTTACGGAAAACTGTGGCAGTGGTCATTTTGGGTGTTTTTGGGCGTAGCACATGGCTAATGGGGGTGGTTGCACGCCGCTGGTGTCTGCAATGTAGTTTTAGAGGGGTATAGGGTATACCGAAATAAGCCTTCAATCCATTCTATCGTGGCGGGATGGAAGTTCCTTCCATCTTGATTCTGATTCTTTAGTAAGAAGCCGGCTACTGGTGAACTAAAGTAAATTGAGAAAAAAAATCGCTAGATCAGTAAAGGTTAGCTGAATTACTATGTGTTAATTGGATATCTGTAAATAAGTTTTCCTCGGAATGAACTAGGTATGATGTATTTAAGTGTAGGCTTTATCCATTCTTGCTAAGTCTAGTATGTGGGGAATGGCGAGTGCCTACCTGTACAAGGCTATTGACTATGAAAATCACAAATTTGAAGATTGTGATATGTAGTTATGCTGATTAAATGTTCTAGAATAGCGAAATTGTGCATTAAACAAGGTAACTTAGCCAATTTTAGCTGACTAGTTTTTAAAGTTATTCACTCTTGTAATACCAATTTTATTTACCTGATTTTTATTTTCAGTGTGTAACGAAGGAAGCAAGTCATATGTTCGACACTTTGTGAACAGCATAGTTCATCATAAAAATATGGCTGTATCTAGTCAGGCTAGAGTGTATTCTGATGTCAACTCTCACAAACCGAGAGAGTATTGGGACTATGAAAGTTATGTTGTTGATTGGGGCCAACAAGATGACTATCAATTGGTTCGGAAGTTAGGACGTGGAAAATACAGTGAAGTGTTTGAAGCAATCAACGTTACAAATAATGAAAAATGTGTAGTTAAAATATTAAAGGTTTGTGTTTTGGTTTTGCTTTTCTATGCATGGCTGAGGTATGGCATCACATCCTCTCTTAAATTTTCATAAACTAAAAAATTTGCACAAAATGCTTTAATAATAACATCACATCATTTTTATATTTAGAAAAAGTTTATTTAAATAGAATAAGGTCTCGAGTAATATTTAATCAATATCACATCATGTACTAATTTTAATTTTTGTGAATTTAGCCTTATAGAACAATCAGTAAAATAGAATTACCAACTGGTAGTTTAACTTCACAATATGCGGAAGAAGTATAAATCACTCAAGATATTGATATTATATTACAAGATTTTCTGAAGTAGAATGTAGATCTGTCAAAAAATAAAATCTGTCCGTCATCTGCGAATCGCAATATAAGTACCACATTCACAGTGGTTTCAGTTTCTTAGAGACTGATTTGTGTCAAATGTGTTCATTAAGAAGCTTCGGTATTAATATATGTTCATTTTTTTCATAAGTTTTTTTTTTAGCCTGTAAAAAAGAAGAAAATAAAAAGAGAAATAAAGATATTAGAAAATTTAAGAGGAGGTACAAATATAATCACATTAGAAGCTGTTGTTAAGGATCCTGTATCGCGGACACCTGCTTTAATATTTGAACATGTAAACAATACGGATTTTAAGCAGCTTTACCAAACGTTAACTGATTTTGACATACGATATTATTTATATGAACTGCTCAAAGCTTTGGATTATTGCCATAGTATGGGTATTATGCATAGGTACGTATTGTCACCCCAACTGTTAGATCTTGTTAACGTTCAATATTTTTAGGGACGTAAAGCCACATAACGTTATGATCGATCATGAAAATAGGAAATTGCGTTTGATAGATTGGGGCTTAGCAGAGTTTTATCACCCCGGCCAAGAGTATAATGTAAGAGTGGCATCTAGGTATTTTAAGGGTCCTGAGCTTCTTGTAGATTATCAGATGTATGACTATTCTTTAGATATGTGGTCGTTGGGCTGTATGTTAGCATCGATGATCTTTAGAAAGGAACCATTCTTCCACGGTCATGACAACTACGACCAGTTAGTCCGTATAGCCAAAGTCCTAGGAACTGAAGAGCTTTATGAATATCTCGACAAATATCATATAGAACTAGATCCCAGGTTCAATGATATATTAGGAAGGTAAGAAAATATCGTTAGTGACCATTTTACCGACTTCAATTTGTTCCGTTGGAACTTTTTTATACTTTTGTGGATTTTCAGACATTCCCGCAAAAGGTGGGAACGTTTCGTGCATAGTGAAAATCAACATTTAGTGTCTCCTGAAGCATTAGACTTTTTGGATAAACTATTACGTTATGATCATTTAGAACGCCTTACCGCACGTGATGCTATGGATCACGCCTATTTCTGTGAGTACATGTTTTGGAAAATAGAGAATAATAGAACAATTTTTCAATTAACTTAATCGATGCTTTCTTGAAACTTTGCTATTAATTTTTAATATTCAATTATCTTCTAATGTTTTCCTTAAAATGGCTTTATTTTGTTGCAGATCCAGTTGTAAAAGAGCAATGCAGAATGTTGTCAACGGTTTCTTCTTCTCCTACTCCCCTGACAGGCAACTTGTCTGTTGTAGGAGTAGGTGAGTAGCGAGCAAATAAGCACTTTCATCATTTCACATATGCTGTCATATTTTGCCATACACTATTTTTAAAATAGTCGTCGGACTCTTTCATATACTTTCAGTCAGTGACGGATTTTCCAGTACCTATTTAATTTTGTCCCTCAAATTATTCAACCATTTTATTTAGAATAATTTCAAATGACTGACGTTTTTCTGTGTATCATAATGTAATTGATTATGCCATTTATGGGATTCTTATACACTTTTGAGATATACAAATAAAATCTTATTAATTGAATTTAATTTTATTAATTAAATAGTTGTTACCATTTTCTTTTTTATTAACGAAAGTTATTTGAAATTAAGTTTTTGTGTATATTATTGTTAAAAACATCGTGTATTGTAATTGTTTTTGTAATTATCTTTTTTTTTTTATTTTTCTGTGCAGAATTATTAGTTGCTTTAATGCAACTAAATTATGTAAATTCCAAGTTATAGCGGCTAATAATTCTGTAGAATGTAAAACAATCATTGGAATAAACAATTCCGTAAATTATTTATGTTTATTTATAAAACTTTAATAAAATGTAATAATTATTAATTATGGTGATGTACAACCCTGTTATTGTACAAATACAAAATATTCCTTTGTAGAATTTTTGCGTCATGGCCCAAAGATTGACAAACATTTACTATTTTTCTTCTAGGCCTCCACTTCGTTAAGTAAATTTAATCGGGAGATTCACAAAGCCGTGTTTCAATGTAAAAATTGCAAATCGGTAAAAGTGTTCACTTCAAGCTGGCATTGGTGCTCACTCTTTGTGAATCTATTTTATTCGGTTAGAAACTGAACTATTATTAATAGACTAATAGAAAATAGTATTCCTTTGGCAAATATCCAAAAAAATGCGTCTGTTTCTTGTTAATGTCACAATTAATAGACAAAACTTTATTCTATTTAAAAAGGTGCCTAATTCATTGAAACTTCCCCTTGGAAGTGATAGTATTAAGGTAATCGGATTGATTTATTATAATTTAATTAAATAACCTGATATTTACTTGGGAGAAGAAATTATTAATCTGTTTTAAAAAACTGGACATAATTAGATTTAATATATATAAATTATCGCCTTTTTGTTTTTCATAGGGATTCGAAACAAAAGCATGTCAATTGCATTAATTATCTGAAAAATGTAGCAATGACTAGTTTTTTAAATATAAAATATATATTTCCTTCTAGTAAATATTGAGTTTAATTAGGAGTAAATGTTATCGTATTTTGGGCATCCCTCAAGAGTTCCTACAGGATTCAGCTGCTGTTGCAACATATATTATCAAAAAGTCAACAGCTTGTTAGTTAAATACAGTTTTGGGCTCTCTAGAGTTACAAACTAAGTGTTGTACTAAATTTTCTTTATATAAGAAAAGACTACGAGTAATAAACATTTTTATTGTTCTGATTTTTTCGTTGTAAATTATCTTTTGCAATAAACTTTATACAAAAATCATTATTCTCTTTTATCTTTCAAATCTTTGAATAATTGGAATGAACTATCCAAGAAAATTACTTGAATATTACAATCGAAATTTTTAAATTATTTTTCATTTTAAATCTTGTGTTAAACTTCCTTGGAATTGGAACAAAGGAAAAAAAGTGCAAAGGTGAGTATATTTCTGTTACTGGAATTACAAGAAAATTTTGCAGATATAAATTGTCCATCATTAGTTAAATATTAGAATTAATAGACTGTCATGTGTCTACTAAAACCAAAAAGTAAGCCTAATTGCTACGTTTTTCTAAATTTTGTATTATGTGGTACGGAAATAACGTTTCTTATGTAATACATTTTAAGAGTTAATCATACAGTTACATAATCCTGAAATGAATTTTATATCCATTTGACATTTTGCAATTTATTCTGATATCCATATCTCATATAATTTTAATTAAACTGAAGGAACAATCACAAGATTTTTACCTTTACATAGAATTACCTTTGAATAAAATATTGTTGGATCAGATATGATGCATAAAGCAAGTGAAGTGAACTGACCTTAATGTTATTCGATTTGTGATTTATTACAAAGGAAACGCCTCAAAGAACGATGACTCCATTTTTTTATTTTCTATTTTTATAATTAAATCACCTGTTGAAACTGCTCTGTGTATCTGTGATATTATTTATCAAATATAATTATTTAATAGTTGAAATATATATTCAAATGAAAAATAATGGGTAAGTGTATATTTTCAGGTTATAACCTTTGTTTTATTTATTACAATCTATTATTTACTGCAATATTACCCAGACAATATTATCTGTAACAATACGATTCTTAAGATTCTTATCAAGTAATAAATTTTGATCATAAAGATTTAGATTTATTATGTACCTACCTTCTGAATATTAAATATAACCATTACGATACTTATTTTTTATTTCCTTTAGATATTCTCGTTATCTATTAATAAAATATACGTAATTAATTTGAAGATTATATATTTTTAACAAATAAGCTCTACTTGTTTGTCTTCATTATGTCGTAATTATAGTCATTCGTATGTATGTACACTTTATCTACTGTAATCATTTGTATTTTAACATTTAAATTTTTATGAACTGTAACGTGGTTGAAAAAAATTTGTTTAATTATGTACAAATAAATGTAGTTTGTGTACTGCCTTATGTTAAAAGAATCTTATTTTATAGTGATCCTTCAACTTCAGGCTCAATCGAAAGCACATCTCAAAAACCTCCACTTAAATCGGTAAATTTAAATTTTAGTTATTTTTTTACCTCCTATACCATTCCTTATTACCTTACAGTTGAGGCAGTTGATAGCAGAGGGACGCAATAAAACTTTAAGATATTCGTCTAAGAAATCACTTGAGGTTGAAGTAATGGACCATTATGAGGCTGTGAATAATTATAAGCAATTCCAAGACAAAAAGACTGGCTATGTTGAGCAGGAGAGTACTGGTCATTATTGCATTTGGGACAGAAAGTATCCTGAAAATCCAGAAAGAGTAGTTTGTGCCAGAAGGAGGTAAACAAACTATAGTTTGCATCTTATAAACTTTATGTTGAATATATCGTATTGGAATTATATATATCTTTTCTAATGCTATAATTAAAAAAAATTATCTGAATTTTGCAGGCTAGAAGCCTTAAACTTGATAGAAAGATGTGAACGTATTACTCCTGAGACATTCCCGGAAGATATCTTTCTGCGGAAACATTCCAAGGAATTATTTGAACGCCTCAGGCAATGTTCAGAAAAATCAGATGCCGAACTTCAAGACGAATCTTCAAAATGGGATGCAGTTTTTATAACACGGGAAACTTTCGAAGACACCAAAAAATCAACCCAGGCCGCCTTAACCTTGACCCTAAAGGTGGCGAGAAACGAGTACAAAAATGGTTTTGCATTGATTCGACCGCCGGGCCACCATGCTATGGCAAATGCATTTTGCGGGTATTGTTTTATGAACAATGTTGCTATTTCTGCAGAGGTAGCTATTGCAGAAGGTTTGGCAAAGAGGGTACTCATCGTGGACTACGACGTTCATCATGGTCAAGGAGTACAACAACTTTTCTATGATAGAGATGAGTATGTTGTTATGAATTAATTTTACCAAGCTTTATAAAGTTATTTTTAGTGTTTTGTATTTTTCGATTCATCGTTACGAACATGGGGAATTTTGGCCAAATTTAAGAGAAAGTGATTCCGATTACATTGGAACTGGACGAGGAAAAGGTTACAATGTCAACGTGCCTCTTAACAAGACTGGCCTTGGTGATAGTGACTACTTGGCGATTGTCTTCAATATATTACTTCCACTTGCTTACGAGGTGTATATTGTCATTAAATAAACTGATCGTATTCTGTCTCATTATAATATAAACACTTTCGTCATTTTCAGTATAATCCAGATCTCATTCTAATATCCGCTGGATATGATGCTGCCATTGGATGTCCTGAGGTAAATTTAAAATTTTTACTTTTTTTTCTAGTTTAACCCTGATTTGGTGATGGTTTCTTCCGGATACGATTCTTGCATGGGTGATGAGAAGGTGAGGAGGGAACATTTTAGTTTCTTAAACTCCAACAAATGTGATATGTGTTAGATTGCTTTAATTAACTTTAAAATTTCATTATTTAATTTTTTTAACAATACTATTTTAAAATAATTTGGAAACGATTTATTAATTGCAATAAAAGGAAGTAAATTTCAGTAAGAATTATTTAGTAAGATTTATTTGAATTTGAATATTAAATATCTCTCGCCTCACCATGAAAAATAATAAATAAAAATAATAAGTAATGCATAATTATTTTTATTACAAGTTTGGGTGTTTCTCTATGTGCGCTGTATAAAACAGTTTTGTATGTTACAATATTAACAGTTTAAGAAATATTTTTATACTTAGGGAGAAATGCTTGTAACTCCCCACTTTTACGGCCATCTTATAACGCTCCTATCAGGATTGGCGAATGGAAAACTAGTAGTTCTTTTGGAGGGTGGCTACTTCAAAGAATCATTAGCTGAGGGCGTAGCTTGCACGCTAAAGGCTCTATTAGGTGACGTTTGCTATCCTGTAACAATCGAGTCTAATCCCACTGTAGATCCGTTACTGCAAGAAGTCATAAACAACATCAAATACATTTTACGTGACTACTGGAAATGCTTTAAGACAGAGGAACTGTTTGAATATCCGAGGTTTGGCAACATGGCAATTAATAGTCTTGAAGAACATGTGACTTGTTTGGAGTACAGAAAAGTTGTTGAAAGTACTGGCGTATATGAAACCGTCGATTGCTACCCTGTCCAGAGCAACGGTACCATCGAACGATTCAATGCTATGATACAAGAATTGAGAAAAGGTAAGTAAAGGTAAAGTTAAATTAAAAGTTTGAATGTATATTATTTTAGTATATTCCAAAAGTCGGACTTGTAATAATATCGTTGGTTATGTCTACGATGAGTCACTCCTAAATCATAAGCCGACGGGTGACACTGGAAAATGTCCTCCAGAAAGACCAGAACGTTTAACGGAAATAATAAAACGTTTCGAAGAATTTGGATTGAAAGACCGTTGTAAACATATTGAAGTAATATTAGTTTTAACTCCACTTTAGAAATATTCATCCTTTCGTTTCAGTTGATAAAATTCGATGAGAGAGCCTGGTTAGAAAAAGTACATGGTTCAGAATATATATCCAATATCTTAAATCAAAAAAACATTACGGAAAAAGTGGACTGGTACTTCAATGATCAAACTTCCCATGCCATTCGGAAATGCGTTTCTTCCGTTTTATCTCTTGCTCAAAATATTTCTGATGGCAGCATTAGAGCTGGTGTTGCAGTAATTCGCCCACCCGGTCACCACGCCTTATGCAACGGTGGATCAGGCTTCTGTTTTGTGAATAATGTCGTTGTCGCTGCTCAATACCTCACCGAAAAACTGCACTATAAAAGGTAAGAATATATTCTGTTTATCATGAAAAATTATTATTATTTTATTTTAGAGTACTTATAGTAGACTTTGATATACACCATGGAAATGGAACGCAAGAATTAACATACGAAAGGTCTGATATATTATATTTATCTATCCACCGTTTTGATCAAAACAAATTCTTCCCTGCATGTGAAGAAGCTAATTACACATACACGGGAAAAAATTGTGGTGAAGGATACAACATAAACATTCCTTTTAATAAAGTATGTAATTTAAACTTATTAAAAAAAAATACATTAGGTATTTTTGAATTTTAGGATAAAAAGAAGAATATCGATTACTGGACTGTATGGTACAAACTTGTGTTACCTATTGCATACTCGTATAATCCTGATTTTGTTATAATATCAGCGGGCTTCGATGCCGGAATTTTCGATCCACTTGGTGGAGGGTACCAAGTCACTCCTGAAATGTACGGTCAGCTTGTGCAAACACTAAAACCTCTCGCCTCGGGCCGAGTCCTATTAGCCCTTGAAGGTGGTTATCATCTTGAAACTACGGCACTTTCCATGGTGGCTTGTGTCAAGGCTTTATTAGGTGACCCATTACCTGTGCCGACATTCTCAGAAGAAGTGTCCGAAGATACGTTAGAAACCGTTAGAAATGTTGTGCGTCAGCAAAGATCAAAGTGGCCATTACTCGAAGTCAATAAAAGAATAGCCAATTTTTTATGCATGAGAGCTCAACTAACAAAGTTAGAAGAATTATCACAGATAAATCCTGCTGATGAAGGTACTCTACAGCAGTTCCGTGATCTTGTTATTCAATGTAGAAATAACGGCTCTGGGTTTTACGATGCATAATTCCTCTATTTGGCTTTAAAGTTTTCATTTTTTTAAAATATATTTGCAATTAATGTTTCGTTAATTATTTTGTAGGAAATAACTCGGCAATAATTTAACCATAATTACCATTTATTAAAAATAAAAATTTGCCTAAACATTACCAAATAATTTGTGCTATTTGTTAACGCTCAGTATTATAAACTTTTAATACATGCTGTTTTTATATTACTCATTTTTCTGTTTGTTAACCTTTATTAATTGTTTAATTTTAATAAAAAAATTAAAGAACATAATTTTATTATTTTTATTATCCTAGAACAATATTCTATTCTATATTTTATTAAGTTTAAACCAGTTAAAACTATTTTATGAAAATATAACTAATTCTGTATGTAAATGATATATTTTTTCTCTTTGGAATAAGTACATCATTTTTTAATTTTTGAGTCCAACAATCAGTAACAAATAGTGCTGGCAACTGAAATCGGTTTTTTGGATAGTCGGTTAACCGGTTTCGGTAATTCGGATTTTTATGAAATCCGAAAACCGGTTATTCGGTTATTCGATTCTTCAAATATCCGAAAACCGGTTATTCGAATCTTCAAATATCCGATTATTCAAATAACCGATTATTGCATCGATTTGTCTGATTGCAATTGACCTTTTTTTTTTGATCGATTTCTTCGTACACAAATTTGACTTCCAGATTTTTGTACAGACCTTTTTTTTAGACAATTTCTCCGAGTCTGTCTCTGTAAAGCACCGATTTTCAGATATTCGGTTTTGGCGATTCAAGTAACGGGTTATTCGAATAACCGGTTTTAGCAACTATTCGACTAACCGGTTTTATCTGAAATCGGTTTTTACGGAACCCGGTTAACCGGTTTCACTTTTTTCCGGTTTTTGCCAGCACTAGTAACAAATAATCTTTAATTTTCTTTAGGTATGTCTTTAATCCTAATGTAAATTTGTAGATGACGAAATGTTAATAAAGTCCCCATTCTTTTGTGACAAACTCCCCACTCAAAAAAAAAAGAAATTAGGAGTAAAATATAACTCGTGGACATGGATATTACATACACACTGTAACGTTAATCTTTTAAGTGAAGTAATAGGTTAAAAATGTTAAAATGGGAATGGGACAAATCTGGCTAAATACAGAATAATGTAAGGCCAAAATCAAAGAAGAAGAAGAAGAAATCCTTAACTCCCTAATAATTTTGAATATACAAAAACTAACCTATTTGTCTGAATTTTGAAGTAATGACCGGGTTTTTAAAAATTATATCTAATATCTAAAGTAAAAAAATGGGTGACTCGGAAACAACTCCGTAAGTGTCTAAGGAGATTTATATGAAAAATATTGTATAATTTGTTTTAGTGTTTGGAACAAAATATATCATATTATTTCTGGCGGAAACACTACTGTGACAGGAGATATAGTAGAAGAAATTTTAGGACTGTGCAGAAATAAAATAGTTGTAGGTTTTCTCGAGTACACCCCATATACTAGGAAAAGTTTTCAATCATGGAAACAGCATTCTGGATTGAAGGACATTGTGGAAGATGATGAAATGTGTAATTTTATTCATCTGTTAAGTAAAGACCTGGTTCGTAAAAACATTTTTGTGTAAGACGTGTGTTACAAAATATATTTTTAGAACTTAGATGCCAATGTCGCATGGACAGTTATGTGTAACTTCTTAATGTTCGAGTACTTTGGCAAAATCGATGAACTCAAGTCAATTATTAGATATGACACTAATGTTCGTTACCTTATTGATAATATTTGGTATTTCTACTCGGGAGACCGCATGTTTCTGTTAAAATCACTACAACATATTTTTGAAAGCATATCAAATGAAGAATATAAATTTTACAAACAGTTTGATGAATTTTTGAAGTGTATAGATACTAAGATTTTGTGGAAAAATATGATGAAGACGTTGGATATCCTTATTAACGAAATAGACAAAAATAAAGCTCAAATGGTATCTAGTGAAGTTTTGAAAAGGTGGATTCATAGAAATAATCGAGAACAAGTTGAGGTGGTAACTTTACTAATACATGTAATACAATTCTGTAAATTAGATGGTTCTGAGTTAGAAGATGCGTTGGTATTATTTCTAAGACATGGTTTCGCAAGACATTTGCTCTATCAAGAATCTAACGTAATCTCAAGACCCAAAGACCTGTGGGATATCAAGTGTGCCGAAATAGGATGTGTATTAGCAGTAATGGAACGATACTGGTACGTTACGTTATGTTAAGATTTTTGTAAGCATTTCCACCAAAATTTCACTTTTCAGGCAAAACCCAGGTACAGCTAAAATGTTATCGAAAAACATAGAAAAAAGTTTAGAACTGTTTCAAATTCAGGGTGATAATAGTATTGTATTGTTCGCTTGGGCAGTATTGAAAACATCTATATTCGATTCCGAAGATGCAATGGAATACTGTAATAATATTAGTAATGAGTTGATTCAGAAGAGAGTTTTTAGATCACTTCACAATTTACTGATAGCCAAAATATTTGATGTAAATATTGCTAAATAAACTTTAACCATAACTAAACATATTTAATTTTAGAAATGCAGATCGGGGGATATTGTGATAGAAGGAGTATTTAGATTGATGGCGGAATTTATAAAAATTTGTGCAGATTATACATATCTTCACGAACAGGATGGGGTGTGTTACGTCACTGCTGAGTTACTAAAAAGAAAAGGCTTGGTTGTATTAGATTATTTGGGACCTATTTTTCAATTGTCTATGGATGCTTTCCCATTTGTATTTAATCCATTTTTAGAAATGTGCAAGTCGATGCTTGCTATTCCAGAACAGTACGATAGAGTAAGTTATAAAACGATTAAGCGTAAATAGTTCATTACGTGTTGTTTGTTAAATTTGTAGATTATGCGTCTGTTGAAACAAATACCCAGTTTTTTGGCAGAAATTCCTTGGACCGAACACAGAGACAGCTTCAACTTAGTTGGAACTCAACAATTATTCATAGACAGTGATTTGTTCATAATACCTGAAGGCACTCGCGTGGAAAAATTCCGTTATCAGGGAATGGAATTTGCCAGGTTCATATACCCATTTAATTTCTTCCTTTTATTGGAACAGTTTACAAAATCTCTAAGTGTCATCACATTTGAAGTCGGTAAATCATGGTATTGTTATGACAATTTAACGGAGTTAGTCCAAATTGGGTTTAAGTTTATTATACACATTTTGAAGCACTATAAGGGCGATTATAACTCTGATATTGTTCTTAAAAGATTGGTTCAACGCCTTGATATTGTACCAACACAATTTTGTGAAGGTCCTACAAAGAATTTTAACTTTATAAGACTATATTTTGAGACAAATGTGACATTGATTGTTCATAACTTATCAGACTTTTCTGAAGTTTTCGGTCCAATTGTCCGCAGGAAATTTTTCCCACAAGTTGCAAGTTACAGCAAATTCAATAGGGAATTTTTGAATCCCATGCATTATGAATCTATTTTATTTAGAAGTCTGAAAGAGGAAGAGAATATGAAAGATCATAGTTTACTTATTGACTACTTAAGGCTTATAGAATATATGGTCAAGGTACGTATTCAGTGACAAATTAGTTTTAATATTAATAAGTTACTGGTTATGTTTCAGAATGAAATTTACCATCAAGAAGTACAATTAGTGGGCATTTTGTACATATTAAATGTTGTTTTTCCTTTGCACCAACAGTGGCCGTACGAAGACGAATTCCAGATGATTACTATTTGCAAATTTTGCATTGCAATCTTTGTGAAAGTACTCCAAAAGTCTGAAATTGACAAATCACATAAATCGTATGAAATATTTACAATGTGTCGAGATGCGTTTTTGTTTGACGAGGTACTAATGTCTAGCTACTTATCCGTATTCTACAAAGACAAATTTTATATACAAAACCTTATGGAGCAAGAATCAAACTGGATTAATGGTCCCGTATTAGAACAAATAGAAAATATTAGATTACAAATGATACTACTGTTGCTGGTATATAAAATCCGATCTGGTATACCTATGTCGACAAAATGTGCCATAGACAACAAAACCAACGTCATTACTAAAGCTATATCAGCCCATATGGTTAATCCTTACAACGCCACATTGAGAATATTAGCGTATAGATTCTTGGAAATTCTTTCACGGGTACAGTTTGCGTCCATTATTTTAATTACACGGTTGATATATAAATGTTTTTATAACTTTAGGATGAAAATATCCCAATGATGGCTTTGCTCGGATTAGACTACGATCAAGTGCAACGATTATTTTTAGATAAGCTCAGGGACCCGATGGAGGACGACAATGTCAAAATGCAAATTTTAGATTTAATTAGTACTTGCATTTTTTCCCAACATGGCATGACCGCGGCTTTATTTAATGTCACAAGATCTCGAAAATGGCACAGTGATTTCAAGGAGAAACGAATTGAAAGAGACACTGTTACCGATTTTATGATCGACTACCTGCAAAATATAAAAAAGGTATTTTTTATGTTTGATGACCGACATTTGAAATTAATATTAGTTTTTTTTAGTCACATGAGTACTTGAAAAGCCCTTTGCAAGTGGCAATTTTAAGAGTAATGGCAAATCTTTGGTTAAACAGAAAGCGGCACTTAGTGAAGGATATAATCGCTCTAGATGCATTCTGGCCTCTTCTTGCTGACCCTTTATTCGAAGAATATAATCACTCGCCATCTGTATATGGACATATTTTTAAGATCTTGGGGATACAATTAGGTGACACTTCTGGCGACAGGACGCAATTTTTGGCAATGGTAGAGAAATTTTTATGTGATGATAAACTTATGGAACTTTGGCAAACATACATGATAAAAACGTTAGGTAATTCACAACTTCGATCTGCCGATATTAAAGAAAAAGAATTTTTACTGAAGGCTTGGATGGAATTTATACTTATGGCTGAAAAAGATGAAGATCTGAAGAAGATTTCAAGTGAAAAAATCAAATTCCTCTTCATTACAATGTGTCTAGATGGAATACAGTTCAACTTTGCAAATACACATTGTCTGGATACTTGGATGAACATGTGTTTAATATTCATTACACGTTGGGGTTTGAATTTTAAAAGCAAAGAGGCGATTATCACGAAAAAGGTGACCGTAATGTACAGTATTACCAAACTACACTATGTAGGACTCGACTCACAGACTCGTTCAATCATACTCACTATTATACTAAATGTTCTTAAGAATCTGAAAACATATTTTGAAGGTAACACCGCAGAATTGCTCGATTTTCTGGAGGAAATCGGACCTTTGGTAGACCACGAATACACAGCTTTAAATGACGAGGTGTGGACAGAAGTGTCTCAAGGTGGCGTTGGAATGCGAGAACTTATGATTCCTTGGATGACGTGCATACACATCGCCAATAAATTGTTGAAATTTGAAAATGTCGGTGAATGTTCCGTGTGGTTTTCTTATCGCAGTTACTTACAGAACCTCGTAAAGTGCACCTGTAACTTGATCAATAAACCACAAACATTACCCTTAACTAAAATCGCCCTTCATAGCCTCCAGTTATATGTAGAATCACCTCTAGCATTCGACTTTATAAACGTTAACATGACTAGTTTTTATGACTCCATCGAACCTCCACTCACAGCACTCTTTGTGGGTCAAAGTAATAAGGTGAAGAAAATAAAAACGGTACCGTAAATTAAAATTTAAACTTTTCTTCTTTTATCAGATTCATGCCGAAGAATTAGACGAGGGTTGGGTGACTTGCACTTTGCTCATGAAATTCAATCAAGCATTTATTAAAAAGTTTCAGTACACTGCTCTCCCTACTTGTTACACCTACGTAAAATTACAAGAGCAAATTTTACGACATATTTTGGTTATACCAGAATGTACCGTGGCTTTGAAAGCATTGGACCTCTTATTACATACCTTGGCTTTCTTCGACGCCATACTAACGTACTGGCAAACAGAGTGGTACCGAAAATCTAACCATACTTACAGTTTTATTTTAGTAAGTACATATTCAAATGTCGGCCAAAGAATGTATCATATTTATATATATTTTTCAGAACGCTGTGAAGAAAGTTGTTAACTCTTGTTTGTACATAATACTTCGACCCAAAAATATTATCTTATACACTCTGGATGATTACCATAGACTCAACCAAATTGATAAGGTTCCCATGCCTTTAATGGTAGTCATTATGAACAGGTATTTTAACCACAATTTACTTAAAGATTATTGTTATTTCTTTTTTTCTTTTAAGATTAATAACAATCGCCGGTTTATGTTTTTCGATACTGTATCGAGCTAACCCGGATCTCATTGCCTTAATGGGAGTCATTGAAGAAGATACAACGACGATTTTAATTCAAAATGACTTCAGTGTGCCAAAATTTGAACTCCCGATACCATACGAGCTCACTTATGGCAAACTATTATGTTTGGCTCACTTCATGTGTAAGACGTTAGATGCTTTAAGTTGCGTAACATCGGAATTGGAAGAAGACGCACACAAAAAATATTACAATAGTTGCATTGGACTTGTCGAACACCAGGATTCTGGACATAACTTTCCTAATCAGAAGCTCGGCGCTTATTTACGTTACGCAATGTATGAATATTCGGGTTTGGCTGATCCGTGGATACATAAACTTAACCAACAACGTGTGAAAAAGTCTTTCGAACTTCTCATGACGTTTTTGGGACAGCAAGTGTTTCTTTATGTTCGTACGACAGACTCTGACAGTTTGCCGTACTTTAAAAGAAATCTGGCGTCCGAACTTCAATTTTTCTATGAACACGTTAAGAAACACACATCTATGTTGTTCACCGATCATATTACAGCTTCAGTGCGATCCATATCTACCTATAAAGCTGATACGGATATTATAAAAAGATACTTGATGTACTGTCGAGCCAATAAGAAATATTATGAAGTAGCGGACAATAACTTCGGTTTAGCTATAGTACACTGGTTTACGAAAATATGCCATGTGCATTGATTTATTTTACGTTTTAATATATCCACTACTTTATATTTACATAATGAAATTTCTTTTTATAAATTTCAGTGTTTTATTATTCAATTAATTACTCTCTAGGGATAACGATCAATGTAAATTTATTTTATAAACACTCACAAATAAATAATAATGTTTAAGATGAGACACTCATATCTGGTCCTGGATTGTTCCTAGAATAAATAGTCTGTTATGGAAAAAAAAATTAAAAAATCAGGTACGTATTTGTTTACCCTCAAAGTGTAACAGAAAACAGATGTTAAATATAAAATGGTCAAAATAGTTGACCAAAATTTTTTCAGATTATACCTAGACGTTTATTTTCTTTACCTATTATTTTGTTAAAAATAGAATGGTAATTTTGGAAAATTTCTCAAAACGTGGAAGTGCACAAACTTTAAATAAAAATTAAAATTATACCCTTTGGATTCCCTGAAAATGCTGGAAAAGACTATAATATTTGCAGGAAACCTTGAAATTTTTTCTACCACAATTAGATTTAAAAAAAATGCCTACAGTACTTTTGTATATTTGGTGGAAGATATTTTATTTTGACTGGATTGCTCGTAGAACAAGCAGTTTTCACCTTGCATGAAAAAAAATTTCGCAAATAGATGTACTTCACAATATTAGTTAACTGAGCTAATTAATTTTAGAAATTATATACTTTTAAAAAAAGTCAAATAAACGTAAATACAAATTTAAATTTAGACGCCCTCAGAGTGCTCGTGCTGCCCCCTTTCATTATATTCTAAAATTCTTCTAAGAATAGTAAAAAATTGTCAAATAAAACTACCCTTTGGTTGTAAACAGGTTATACGATAAAATAATTAGTTCTTAGGGCCACCGACCTTCAAATTCAAATTTTTCCTCGGGTTGCCATCGGAGTAAACGGTTAGCATGCCATGAGAAAAAATTACACGTCTATTGACATTTATATACCTACGTTAATGGTTATGCTAAACATAGTAGTAACCGAGATCCGGTTAAACGAAAAGGACGTAAAAAATTGTCCGTGTGATATAACCAGTCTATTTAATTTTATTTTGTAGGAGTGTTTAAAAATACGTAGATCTGAAATACAGAATGGCATCCAGAATATTATCAAAGCGCCCATTTTCCTTGGGTTTTACGATTTTAAGAGTAAAATGTTTTAATTACATAACCTAGCATATAACTAAAATTTTAAATTTTTTCAGTGTCAGTCCACAATGTCGGCCTTCGAATTGCAACACAAAACACCACTCATTAAGAAAACTGTAAGTTTTTACCGAAATTTGTTTCAGTGGTTAAAAACTATGTCATTTTAAGACTCCGATCCCTATCGCTCTATATGGAGGTCGAAATGCAGTTACAATGTTACCCGGTGGTGGTATAGGCCCAGAACTCATGGGCTACGTCAGGGAAGTGTTTAAGTATGCAGGGGCTCCTGTTGACTTTGAATTAATTGATATTGACCCCAAAGCGGATGATAATGTCGATCTAGAATATGCTATTACATCGATAAAACGTAATGGTGTAGCTATTAAAGGTAACATTGAAACTAAAAGTGAGAGTGCGGCAGTGCTATCTAGAAACGTGGCCATCAGGAATGAACTTGATTTGTATGTAAATATTTTGCACTGCAAGTCTTATCCCGGAGTACCTGCTAGACAAAGCAATATTGATATAGTTATCATAAGGCAAAATACAGAGGGGGAATATGCTATGTTGGAACATGAAGTAAGTTTACAGATATATAAACTGACATTTTTTGTTATAAGTTATGTTATTTCAGAGTGTTGATGGTGTAATAGAAAGTATGAAAGTTGTGACAGAATCAAATTCTGATCGAGTGGCAAGATTTGCATTTGACTATGCAAAACGTACCGGAAGGAAACGTATTACAACTATACATAAGGCAAATATAATGTATGTATAAATAATTTGTCAGTTTTTTTTTAAATAATTAATTTTTCATCTTTAGGAAACTTTCCGACGGTCTTTTCTTGGAAACGTCAAGAAGGATAGCTGAAGATTACCCCGAAATAGAACATAATGATATGATTATTGATAACTGTTGCATGCAGCTCGTGTCAAAACCCCACCAATTTGACGTCATGATTATGACGAATCTGTACGGCAGTATTGTGTCAAATGTCGTCTGTGGTCTGATAGGTGGTGCTGGATTGCTTTCAGGCAAAAACTATGGAGATCATGTAAATTGAAATCAAGTTTGTTGTTTTGTTTGTTTATCGGAATATTTAAAAGCTATATACCACCATATATATATTTTCAGTATGCCATATTTGAACCCGGTACTCGCAATACTGGAACTGCTATCGCTGGGAAAAATATTGCGAATCCAATTGCGATGTTGAACGCAGGAGTGGACATGCTGGAGCATTTGGGGCATCAAAAACATGCTACCTTGATCCGATGGGCTATTGAGAAAACTCTTTGCGAAGATAAAATACATACTCCAGGTGAGTTGTTTTGTTTTTGCAAGATTGATAATTTTATTTATTTGGTACAATGTTTTTCTCAGATTTGGGAGGTACGGCAAAGAGTACAGATGTCGTGCAAAGAATTATCGATCACATCTTGCAAGCTGATACAAGGCCATGGTAATATTCAGTTGATGTAGTGGTGGTGGTGGTTTTTTTTAAATCTAATTCTCTAATGTGTGTCCGAATGCTGTCTGATGTTTGTTCTGGATCCTAATTCATATTAACTGAGGTGTTTTTCTTTCTCTACTAATTTGTTTCCCTTAATACATTCCATAAGCCTTAACGTTTCTTTTTTTATTTTTTACAGAGGCACACAGGAAAGTATTAAAAAAGTGTCTTACGAAGCTGTATTTATTTAACTTATTTTTCAAACTGTAATTTAATGTGATTAATAAAACATGTTTTTAGAACAAATGTTTTATTGCCGAAAGTTCCTTAACCAAACAAAAATGTAAATAAAATTTACAACAAATCAAACAGGAATGTATGAAGAGTATTGAACCGATTTTTACATTTTTGGTTTCCACTTGTAAGACCCTGTATAAGTGAAGTTATTCTTTACTAACATTTCATCGGCTTCCTTTGGACCCCTACTACCATACCTAAAGAAATCCAAATATTAAGCACGTTATATACTTGTAGCAGATATGTGTGATTTGTTTAGCGCTTAGCCAATATTACACAATACACTAAAAAAATTTACAGCCACTACAATTAAACTTTTTTCATTTCGAGAATTTTAAACAAAATATAAATAAATGTTTAGTTTTTAGAGAATTCAAAAAAAGGGTATTAAAGAAATAGGGGATAAGAGATTATTTAGTACATACTTGTACGAGATAGGTTTGACTTTTTCTGTCTCGATCCTGTGCAGCAATGGAGTAAAGATTCTCCAAGCCTCGCTCAACTCATCCGAACGCACAAAGTGCATTTGGGAGCCGCAGAACACATCCAGAATAAGCCGTTCGTAAGCGTCTGGTAATTTAACACCCTACGAACAAAATATATTTAAAAACGATATTATCTTGAAAAAAAAGGAACATACAGCATAGCGACTACCATATGTCAAATCAAGTTCAGTTTCTTCCATGTCAAACGCCATGCCAGGAGTTTTAACCATTAGTTTTACATAGAGAGCTTCCCCAGGCTGCACGCGAATGACCAACTCATTACGTTTTGGTTTTCCGTCAAAAATATCTCCCGGAACATCTTTGAACTGGATCCTAACTTCAGCCTTACGATCATTTAGAGCTAAAATTTTAACAAAAACCTAGTGAAATATGAAGTTTTGCCTTACAGTTTTATTTCCCTGTACATATGAAATAATTTTATGGACACAGATGGTTCAATATATTTAGATAATTAAATTTTTTCAAAAATTTTTAATCATTTTTCATATCGTGTCGAACGTTTCATTGTATTACAAAAAAAAAACTTGTCCTTGAACTGAAGATGATCACGATATTAGAACCACTCAAATTTGCTGATTATTTGAATAATAACAAACGTATTAATAGTCTGCTGATAAATTTATTACGTGTCTTTGATAGATAAAATATGATTATGTAAATATTAATATAAACTGATAAATCAAGTGGTTTTACCTTTTCCACATTTAACAATAAATGGAACTCCATCCCATCTCTCATTATTTATTTTTAACACAGCCAAAGCATACGTTGGAGTAACTGACCCTTCGGGTACAGTCGGATCGTCAAGGTATCCTAGTTTAGCTTCACCCTCTCCCTCAGTATTGCCAACGTATTGTCCCAAAACAACATCTTTTAATTCCAGCACCTTAATGCTTTTCAGGACTTTTACTTTCTCATCTCTAATATCATCTGGTTGGCAAGTAGCAGGTTTCTCCATCGCAACAAGTGTTAGAATTTGCAGCAAATGGTTTTGCATAATATCACGTATAATCCCGAATTCATCGAAATATCCACCCCGCCCTTGAGTGCCAAAGGGTTCCTTAAAGCTAATTTGTATAGACGCAATGTTGTCCCGGTTCCATGAAGGGTTGAAAATGCGATTGCCGAATCTAAGTGTCATTAGATTTTGTACCATCTCTTTGCCCAAATAGTGATCGATACGGTAAATTTGATGCTCAGCGAACAAGGATGCTAGATGATCAGATAATTTTTGAGATGTGTTTAAGTCACGCCCAAATGGTTTCTCAATAATAATTCTTGTCCAACCTCTGCAATAATTATTATTAAAATAAAAAAGTCAAAACGTAAACACATAATTCCATTAACATATTTTTTTTTCAATTTAAGCAATCGAACACTTGAGTACACAATTGCTAAATCAACTATATGGACGATTAAACTAGAAATGTTTATACACGATTTTTTTAAATATCACCTGAAATGAACATCTAAAATGTACTTACTTAACGGCCATACAAGAATTTCTAATATGCACAGTAATTTCCTCAAAAACAGAAGGAGGTAGAGCTAAATAAAATAGTCTGTTTGCAACTGCACCCTTTTCGAAACAAGTTAACTCCTGGTTTAGCTTTTCAAAATCTGTTCTAGAATTGTATTGTCCAGAAATATAACGATTTAACTCCCAAAATTGGTCATAACGTTCCCGTTCTTCAGGCTTTACATTCATATACTGTTCACATTTAATTTTAATTTCCTCTACAGTTGTCTTACTTCTTGCATACCCATAAAAAACTGTGTTTGGTGGAAGCAAGTTATCTCTGTACAACCACCAAATTGTGGGGTAAATTTTTTTACGGGCCAAGTCACCCTACAAAATTTTTTCTTTATGAAATGTTTAATAATAATTACAAATACTTACCGATGCTCCTAGGATTACAAACACATGGGGCCTATTTATATCAAAATGTGTCCCATCATGATCCATATCTATAGATTTTAGGGACTGCCTGAATAAAGCCAAACATAATTCAGATTTTTGGGCTTCTGGAAACAAAAATAAGTTATAAATACTTCTTACTATTTAAACAATATTAAATTATTATACCGTCGTTGGAAAGAGATAAACTGGAGTTGTGAGAATTCATTTTTTTTACTTATCTTTACTTTACAAGACAACCTCTCATTTGAAATGGCTAATTTGGATGATATTTGTAGTAATCTTGATGACTTTCATAAATTTCAATAACAAACTTTCAAGGTTGTGTTCTCTAGATGCAGGCATGATATAAATTTTCCCGCCAAAATATTGTGCAACAGGTAGTTGTGTTCATTCCAATCGTGAGTAACTATCTTACATAATTTCTTGAACAAATTAATTCCGTAATTAACTTAAAAAAGTCTTTCAACTGAAAAGCAGAAGACTACTAGTGAGTTTGCTATTGGTTAAATATTAAAAGGGTATAAAAAATACATTTTTTCAGCATCAGATACAGCGGCGGAATTTATTAAAGGGATAAGTAACATGAAAGAACTCAAAATAAAAAATTTTTTGGAATGATATATTAGCGAATACAGATAAAAGATATAGTTGTATAAGTATGAAAATTATTCTTATATGTTTACTATCATGTAGATAAAAAGATATGTCCATAAATTATGTATTATCATTTATCAGAGTATTTTCCTTATATCTAATAGTAGAAAAAGTTCGATATTTAATTTTTGTCTTGAATTATAAATATGTTAAAAATAACAAACAAAAAATGTTTAAAATTATATACGTCTGCTAATTGTTTTACTAACTGCAGTAATTATATAGAATTAGTTAAAAGGACGGAAAATTCGTTCATTAACACAATTTTAAAAATTGTAGCGCAATTATAAATGAAATAAACGATGTTAAAATGTTAAATGTTCTTTGAGGGTTATCTGACTAAAAAAAAGATATGTACGTATTTTAGATAAAACTGATAACTGAAACTTAGATAAATGCGTTATAATAAATAAATAAATAATTTTAATACATTTTTTTATTTTATTTAAGAAACTTTTAAACAATTAGAGGGTTGAATATTAAAAAAAAAATATATATATATATATTATTTAAAATATTCATTT